TTCACTAAGCGATCAGACATACCCTACCTGCCGAAAGGAGTGTTATATTGTACCCATTCAAAATGATGTACCCAAAGCTGATACTAATAACTGCCATCCTATCAGTACCATGCCTATGGTTTCACGAGTAATGGAAAAGATTGAAAAGGCTCAAATCATTCAGTATTTGTCTTCTAATTACTTCCTATCCACATTCCAATACGTTTTCTTGAGTAATGGTCCGTGCATTACTTGCCACTCAGATTATTTTGACTAATTTACACAGTGCACTTGGTGTAGATAATGGGGATTCACTAGTGACTTTGTTTCTCGACGTTAGCAAAGCCTTTGATAAAGTCCCAAATAGCAGACTCCTAACTAAAATCCAATACTACAAAATAACTGGAAAGCTTCTCAAATGGACAAATATTTCCCCACAGAAAGAGAGCAATTAGCCAAAATTAATCACCAGCTGTCCGCACCAAAGTCGATGACTGGTGGTGTAATACAAGATAGCGATCTTGGCTCTGTTCTGTTCGTCTTATTCATATATGACATAGTCCCTATGTTCAAATATGGCAAGCCGTACCTCTCTTCAGATGATCACAAGATAGTATATATTTATGAGTACGATGACATGAGTGTCAAAAGCAAGATACAACACGATTTAAATAGTCTAGTTGAGTGGAGAGAGAAATGGAAGCTGACTTTCGACCCGGACAAGTGCGGTATAGCCCACTGGGGAAGCCGGAAACCGAGGATGTGTCTATATATGTGTGGTGACCTCTTAATAGTGAACACAGCCACAGACCTTGGGATGGCGTACTCAGATTTAAACTTTCGCGATCATGCAAATAAAGTGATATCTGAGCGTAAACGAATTACTGACTTTGTACTGCGTAACTTTTACGCTCAAGAAGCAAGATTACTTATATTTAAGACGCGCATTCACCCCAAACTTGAATATTGTGATCTACTATATAGTAACCTAAGGTCTGCAGTCTAAAGTGTTCAGAGATTCCTCATGAAACGAATAATAGTGTCTGACCAACAAGTGGAGTATGTTAATGGGTGTATACGACTGAAATTAGAAACCCTGTGGTTAAGGAAAGTGAAGTGCAACTTATTTCTACCCTTAAGTGTTATTAGGAGACATTGTTACAGCAACTCATCCATAACGTGGGAAAATATTAAATCATATCAGCTGAGAAACCACGAATAGCTTTCAAAGGTGGCTACCCACAGAAAAACCATTAGAGCAAACTTTTCCACCATTAAATATTGCATTCTTTGGAACCAACTACCATCTGAAATGAAGTGCTATGAAAGCCTCGATGGGTTCAAACGGAGCCTAGAAAGACATTAAAATGTCCACTCTAGCTCGTCTAAAAGATCACAACGGCTGGTAGAACGGTAAGTGAAAGCCAGTCCAGTCTTCAGTGCAGTCAGTCACACATAACTCAACTCTACTATTACGCAGCGAACGTCTAACTATAATTTACTGATTTTCTATTCTTTATAATCTAAAATAAGTTGTGTGTGTTAGTATTTCTAGAAACAATTAAACTGGCAAACATACCATTTGGTATTTTACATATATATAACTGACAACGCACTGCTATTTTTGTGCCAGTCGATAACTACCTTTTCTCATATACATTCCTAAAACTTATGATTTTATGACATTTTGCAGTATTTTTTCCATAGAATAAGTTGATGCATTACTTCACAATGTTCAATGCATACCATTTGAAAACCTGTCATGAAAATTTAGCACGGCAAGTTCTGATAACCAGCTGTTTTCCTCAGCATCATTCTACATAACTTCATCACTAAATTTTCCACTACTCATTTCACTCTGCCAAACAGATTATAACTTAGTTGCTGTAGCACTAACTACTTCTATACTTTATAATTTTTAAGGTGAACCGAATTTCCTAGTCGTTTGTAATAACTGCTTATTTACATGGATGCGCGTATAAAGGAAATGCTGCTAAGAATGTAACGACGGAAGACAAAGGCCAGGCAACAGATAGTTTATTGAGAAAATCAACAGATACTTATAGATTTTTATATACATTATTATTAGCGTTATTACTAGCAGAGAAACAGCGTCTTCTGATTGGTCGTTTTCTCACTAGAAGTTATTCTATCATCTTTTTGTGGCCGTTTCTTTGAAGGTCAGATCATTTATCTACTAATTGTATCCGCCCACGCTAAGTCTTTGTTCTTGTTTTCTTCTCATGACCAAGATTTGGGACGTAAACATAGATGTAAATTTTTGTCTACCAATTTTGGCTAGCAGACAGCCTTCACCACGCTCTCCATTATGGACATCGACCACCAGAGTATCGCAAGTAGCTATTCTTGGTCTCCCGTATTCCTCTATCCTGGTGACATGACATCCTGAATGATGAAGACTCACTTAAGTTGCAGGGGGATATAAAGAATTAGGCAACAAAAATTAGGCTAACAGTAAACATTTAAAAGTATTGTGTCATTTGTATCCTCAGGCTAGTGGCAGACGGTGATTCCTGCTGATTATGGTAAACTAACCTCTTCCATACAGAGACAGGCTGCAGTCCTGACGTACTCAAGGAAGATATAAATATAAACGATAGTAGTTCTAGTTCCTATCTGAGAGCCTCCGAAATTATAGGTCCATTTAATGTATAAGCTTAAATACTACACCTGTTGTTTTTTGCCTATATTTATAATTCTAGATAAAACATAACGGTTAAGATACGCATCCTCAAACAGACGAGAAATCTCGTTTGTAAAACTGCTACCCAACACAATAAGTGGAATAAAATGGACATAAACCGACAACACCACAACATCACATGGACAGATGTACGCTCGTCGGGCACCGGAGGAAAACTTAATGACTACTATCCTGATAAACCCGGTAGTAGTGTGGTGGGAGATGGTTACTAGCCGAATTGGTTGATAGTAATTGAGGTCAAAGGTCAAAATGGATAGGCAGATACAGTTAACACATAGATGAACTGACACAGCCACAAGAGATGCAAGGTTAACTTTGTGTGAGAAACAACCAATCAACAGACTGTATTTTCTAATAACATTAACCTACAATAATGTACATGAAAATCTATGAATACGTGTTGATTTTCCGTAATAAACGTTCTGTTGCCTGGCCCTTGTCTTCTGTTGTTACAGTAGTACTAGCGAGGCTACTGAGACTCACATCTGGAAAGTACCCAGATTGTGACGACATTACGCCATCTGTTCTGAAACTGTGCGCCGAAGCTCTCTGTATACCCTTATGCAACTTTCTCCAACACTCGATGGATTCGAAAAACTGCCAAGGGAGTGGAAAGGAGCCATTCTTTCTCTGATCTTCAAGGGTGGGGATAGGCAAAATGCCACTAGTTATAGACCAGTAGTCCTACTCGCAGCGGTACCAAAAGTACTGGAAAGTATTATTGATGATCATATCAGGTAGCACCTTGGTAGGACTAATAGAATCCATGAAGCCCAAAATGGTTTCAGGGATGCAGATTCTGTGTTATAAACCTACTGTCAGCTTGGGACGATTGGACATCATGTTGGGATATGAATATTCCAATCCATGTTGTCTTTCTAGAATTTTAAAAGGCATTTGAAACAGTTCACCATGACCTTCTCCTACACAAAATAAGTCAGGCAGATATAGGTAAGTCGCTTCTGTCAAGATTAAGGATCATCTAGCTGAAAGGAAATTTTGCACTAAGGTCAATCGAGTCCGGTCATCTTGGTATAGCTCGTCATCAGGAATGTGACAGGGTTTTATCCTAGGACCACTGGTTTTTTGATTTTTATAAATGACCTACCATGCCGTCTAAGCTACTCAACTCTTCTACACGCTGACGATGTAAAAATATGGAGGGCGATAAAGTGTTCGGAAGACTCAGATAGGCTGCAGGCAGACCTAAAGCTTTTCGAAGACTGGACGGCGGCCAGTGGTGTGGCTTTCAACCTGAAAAAGAGCAAAGTAGTGCAACTACACACCTGTGCAACGAAAGCTAGTCTTGCACGACGTTGGGGCGTAACTTAGATCTAGTGCTGACGGAGAAAATGGACACAATTTTGAATTGCATGGGGGATAAATTTAGGGCATATGAGTTCACTCAGTTGACACATGGACAGTTAAGTGCGCTCACTCCTGAGCTCTTTCTAAGGCTGTACAAAAACACGTCAGACCACACCTTGAAGTACACAATGTCACTGCAGCCCACTGATTAGAAGAGGCACGAACCTTTTGAAAAGAGTCCAAAGATGGGCTACAAAAGGAGTGGTTGGTCTCCGAAATAAACCGTATGATGAAAAGCTAAAGAAATTATGTCTATTCACGCTTAGCTACCAACGGCTTAGGGGGATTTGATTACTGCCCACAAGAAAGACAATGACCAGGATAACCCAAACAAAGTTGTTATGCCATTGAGTAGGTATGGGCTTCCTCATGGAAACTGCAGGAGGATAGCTAACCAGAGGACAAGGACTCGGGTGCGCTCTTACTTCTTTTCACTGTGGGTTTGCCATCCCTGGAACTCCTTACCAACAGATATAGCTATGACAGCGTCTGTGAGAACCTTTAAGCAAAGGCCGGAGAATCATGCAGTGACCCAAGGACTGAGTCCAAATGGCCTACCCACTTAAAATCCCATGTACCATTCATGAGTAGACAACTAAATCCGTCGTTTTACTCCTTTACATCCTCTCCCGTCTTACTTTTCTGACAGTTCCAACTACTACACTTGCACTTAGTATCATTACTGCCGGTATTATATGCACATATATATATGCATATATTTCAACTTCAAATTTAAGTTGCTGTCTGTTTTTACATTTTTTTCCTTTCATTTCTTTCTCTGTATTTTAGTCTGAATAACTTACACTAATTATATCTATTACCATTGTCTCTTCTCTTGACGACCATACTGGAGGACCAACTGGTGAAAGGATGAAATCCATTCACAACAACAACAAAGTCTTAACACAGCATACTACAAGCAACATATGATTCATCACAGCACTACTCCTTTTGGAGTCAACCAAAGTTACATCAGCCGAGTGGTGGGACGAACTAAGCAGAAGTTTACCGAAGATCAGGAACCTTTATCTTCTAATCAGGAAGCGAGCACAAAGAAATCAAATTGGTTTATACTAGCTCGTAAAGACGATACTGGATATTGGATTCTCAAGGTCTGACTGTCTGTCTCATTTGAAAATGAACGGAACAGCAGAATGTTTGCCCGTTCTGGTGGTTGGTGCTGGTGGAATTGGATGTGAACTATTAAAGAATTTGGTGTATAATGGCTTTGATAATATAACAATTGTAAGTTACTCTTCTAAATTTTTACTATTATTTTGTAGGTCGATCTCGACACCATCGATATCAGCAACCTAAATAGACAGTTTCTTTTCCATAAAAAGCACGTTGGACGATCCAAAGCAGAGGTCTGAGTAATATTTTCACTTTGTATTTCTCCAACAGACAGCCAGAGAAAACGTATTGGCCTTTAAACCAACTGCTAACATTGTTGCTTACCACAAAAGTATTTTCAGGTAATCAAGTTGTTAGTTTCTTTGACTTCATCTCAGCTCTACATTTAATTCTACGTTTTTTGAAAAGTTCGCTGTTGTTTTCAATGCCCTGGACAATCTTGGTAAGTTTATTACTTACCAATATAATCAGAACTTATATAATAATGTAGCCCAGAATGATATACTGCTCATTTTTGTGTAATATGCATTCATATTCTCACCTTGTATTGTCATTCCCACAGAGCGTTAATGTGGAACTATGTACAGTGTTTTATGTAGTATCTGTCCTTCATTTTAAGGTTTTGCCTTTTTAACTAACTCTGAATTCATCCTAATGTTGACGCTACTCACCTGTCATAAGTATCTAATTATACTCCTATTAACGCATAAGGCTAAAATACCCTCATTAACACTTGTAATCAGCTGCTGTGGGGATATGGAAGTTCAACCCCTTTGCATTCGCAGTGTTGTACGTATTCACAATGCTTAATTACAACGAACAGTCCCCATTATGAATTTGGATAGTGTGAGAGAGGCTTGGTGAAGTGTTTAATCAAGAGAGTTCAGCGTATTTGTGCAACTGACGTTAAAGAGGATGGAAATCAAAGACTGATGGATACTGTTGTCGGGAACGTATAAGCTCTAAAAATTTTAAACTGATGTAGAAGTCAGTTTTAAAAACTACAATCCATTCTGCCCCTGAGAAAGATGTTTTAATTAATTTATTGTACAGTGGGGTAGTGACTAGTAAGATTTTAAGACAAAATAATATCAGTCATCCGCATTACCTATTATGCGGGTCGGCTTATAAATATTGAAAAAGCCGAAAATGTGCTTAACTGCAAACCCCAAAAGTACACAAGTGATTGTCACATCCCACACACATACATAGGGAAGAGTGATGACGCTTTGCATGAAGTTAGGGAGATCGTATTGCGAAATTTTTAGTAAAACAGGAACTCTGAAAAATCGACACACACCAATGGCAGACTACCAACTTCGTTAGATTTTTTGAAGTATCCATGCACTGCTTTACTATGAAAAAGTGTTACCGTGATATACATGTTAATCATATTAGTCGAATAATGATTTTTAGTGCACGCATTAGTCTTGTCAACATAAAGCTGTTGACTTCCCGACTGGTTGGTTGGGGTCCTCGGGATGGATGATGAGAACCAGTGACGGCTGGAGATAATTGGTGATATGGTTGACTGGCGCAGATGTATTCACTCTTTGTGATTTATCATATCCAGTAAAATTCCATTGTTCTTCCATATTACTAGTATTATTTTTCGCTCACACTTCTGTTTGTTATCTCTTTTGTTGAATCTCTTTCTACTGTCTTCTCTAGCCTTGTATGCTACAAAGAGGAAATGTGGCAACTTGAACTGGTGCATATCTGTGCAAAGTTCTACGTTGAAACTAGTTAGTTAGTTAGTCAGGCAGTCAGTCAGTCAATCAATCAGATACATTGTTTTCCATTTCTCCTCAATCGTTTCAGACGTGCGTATAGTAGAATGTGCTACTGTTGCCAACATGTGGCCTTTTTATTATTGAGGATCTAGTAGAAATTGAATTATCGCATTGGATTTATGAAGAAGCCATTATTGTTGTACACCATCAACGAAGTGATCGCTTGTTCAACCTTCCTCTAATCTTATGTCGGTTTCGAGTTGAAAACGCTGCTAAGAATACTATACATCACCATTCCTTTTTGAATGTTAAATCGTTTTGTGTGCACATTGTGGGTTCAAGTTTTCCATCTTATAAATAATAACTAGTTGCGTTAACCACTACTACTACTACTATTCTGAGACATGTGTTATAGACCAGTAGTCCTACTCGCAGCGGTACCAAAAGTACTGGAAAGTATTATTGATGATCATATCAGGTAGCACCTTGGTAGGACTAATAGAATCCATGAAGCCCAAAATGGTTTCAGGGATGCAGATTCTGTGTTATAAACCTACTGTCAGCTTGGGACGATTGGACATCATGTTGGGATATGAATATTCCAATCCATGTTGTCTTTCTAGAATTTTAAAAGGCATTTGAAACAGTTCACCATGACCTTCTCCTACACAAAATAAGTCAGGCAGATATAGGTAAGTCGCTTCTGTCAAGATTAAGGATCATCTAGCTGAAAGGAAATTTTGCACTAAGGTCAATCGAGTCCGGTCATCTTGGTATAGCTCGTCATCAGGAATGTGACAGGGTTTTATCCTAGGACCACTGGTTTTTTGATTTTTATAAATGACCTACCATGCCGTCTAAGCTACTCAACTCTTCTACACGCTGACGATGTAAAAATATGGAGGGCGATAAAGTGTTCGGAAGACTCAGATAGGCTGCAGGCAGACCTAAAGCTTTTCGAAGACTGGACGGCGGCCAGTGGTGTGGCTTTCAACCTGAAAAAGAGCAAAGTAGTGCAACTACACACCTGTGCAACGAAAGCTAGTCTTGCACGACGTTGGGGCGTAACTTAGATCTAGTGCTGACGGAGAAAATGGACACAATTTTGAATTGCATGGGGGATAAATTTAGGGCATATGAGTTCACTCAGTTGACACATGGACAGTTAAGTGCGCTCACTCCTGAGCTCTTTCTAAGGCTGTACAAAAACACGTCAGACCACACCTTGAAGTACACAATGTCACTGCAGCCCACTGATTAGAAGAGGCACGAACCTTTTGAAAAGAGTCCAAAGATGGGCTACAAAAGGAGTGGTTGGTCTCCGAAATAAACCGTATGATGAAAAGCTAAAGAAATTATGTCTATTCACGCTTAGCTACCAACGGCTTAGGGGGATTTGATTACTGCCCACAAGAAAGACAATGACCAGGATAACCCAAACAAAGTTGTTATGCCATTGAGTAGGTATGGGCTTCCTCATGGAAACTGCAGGAGGATAGCTAACCAGAGGACAAGGACTCGGGTGCGCTCTTACTTCTTTTCACTGTGGGTTTGCCATCCCTGGAACTCCTTACCAACAGATATAGCTATGACAGCGTCTGTGAGAACCTTTAAGCAAAGGCCGGAGAATCATGCAGTGACCCAAGGACTGAGTCCAAATGGCCTACCCACTTAAAATCCCATGTACCATTCATGAGTAGACAACTAAATCCGTCGTTTTACTCCTTTACATCCTCTCCCGTCTTACTTTTCTGACAGTTCCAACTACTACACTTGCACTTAGTATCATTACTGCCGGTATTATATGCACATATATATATGCATATATTTCAACTTCAAATTTAAGTTGCTGTCTGTTTTTACATTTTTTTCCTTTCATTTCTTTCTCTGTATTTTAGTCTGAATAACTTACACTAATTATATCTATTACCATTGTCTCTTCTCTTGACGACCATACTGGAGGACCAACTGGTGAAAGGATGAAATCCATTCACAACAACAACAAAGTCTTAACACAGCATACTACAAGCAACATATGATTCATCACAGCACTACTCCTTTTGGAGTCAACCAAAGTTACATCAGCCGAGTGGTGGGACGAACTAAGCAGAAGTTTACCGAAGATCAGGAACCTTTATCTTCTAATCAGGAAGCGAGCACAAAGAAATCAAATTGGTTTATACTAGCTCGTAAAGACGATACTGGATATTGGATTCTCAAGGTCTGACTGTCTGTCTCATTTGAAAATGAACGGAACAGCAGAATGTTTGCCCGTTCTGGTGGTTGGTGCTGGTGGAATTGGATGTGAACTATTAAAGAATTTGGTGTATAATGGCTTTGATAATATAACAATTGTAAGTTACTCTTCTAAATTTTTACTATTATTTTGTAGGTCGATCTCGACACCATCGATATCAGCAACCTAAATAGACAGTTTCTTTTCCATAAAAAGCACGTTGGACGATCCAAAGCAGAGGTCTGAGTAATATTTTCACTTTGTATTTCTCCAACAGACAGCCAGAGAAAACGTATTGGCCTTTAAACCAACTGCTAACATTGTTGCTTACCACAAAAGTATTTTCAGGTAATCAAGTTGTTAGTTTCTTTGACTTCATCTCAGCTCTACATTTAATTCTACGTTTTTTGAAAAGTTCGCTGTTGTTTTCAATGCCCTGGACAATCTTGGTAAGTTTATTACTTACCAATATAATCAGAACTTATATAATAATGTAGCCCAGAATGATATACTGCTCATTTTTGTGTAATATGCATTCATATTCTCACCTTGTATTGTCATTCCCACAGAGCGTTAATGTGGAACTATGTACAGTGTTTTATGTAGTATCTGTCCTTCATTTTAAGGTTTTGCCTTTTTAACTAACTCTGAATTCATCCTAATGTTGACGCTACTCACCTGTCATAAGTATCTAATTATACTCCTATTAACGCATAAGGCTAAAATACCCTCATTAACACTTGTAATCAGCTGCTGTGGGGATATGGAAGTTCAACCCCTTTGCATTCGCAGTGTTGTACGTATTCACAATGCTTAATTACAACGAACAGTCCCCATTATGAATTTGGATAGTGTGAGAGAGGCTTGGTGAAGTGTTTAATCAAGAGAGTTCAGCGTATTTGTGCAACTGACGTTAAAGAGGATGGAAATCAAAGACTGATGGATACTGTTGTCGGGAACGTATAAGCTCTAAAAATTTTAAACTGATGTAGAAGTCAGTTTTAAAAACTACAATCCATTCTGCCCCTGAGAAAGATGTTTTAATTAATTTATTGTACAGTGGGGTAGTGACTAGTAAGATTTTAAGACAAAATAATATCAGTCATCCGCATTACCTATTATGCGGGTCGGCTTATAAATATTGAAAAAGCCGAAAATGTGCTTAACTGCAAACCCCAAAAGTACACAAGTGATTGTCACATCCCACACACATACATAGGGAAGAGTGATGACGCTTTGCATGAAGTTAGGGAGATCGTATTGCGAAATTTTTAGTAAAACAGGAACTCTGAAAAATCGACACACACCAATGGCAGACTACCAACTTCGTTAGATTTTTTGAAGTATCCATGCACTGCTTTACTATGAAAAAGTGTTACCGTGATATACATGTTAATCATATTAGTCGAATAATGATTTTTAGTGCACGCATTAGTCTTGTCAACATAAAGCTGTTGACTTCCCGACTGGTTGGTTGGGGTCCTCGGGATGGATGATGAGAACCAGTGACGGCTGGAGATAATTGGTGATATGGTTGACTGGCGCAGATGTATTCACTCTTTGTGATTTATCATATCCAGTAAAATTCCATTGTTCTTCCATATTACTAGTATTATTTTTCGCTCACACTTCTGTTTGTTATCTCTTTTGTTGAATCTCTTTCTACTGTCTTCTCTAGCCTTGTATGCTACAAAGAGGAAATGTGGCAACTTGAACTGGTGCATATCTGTGCAAAGTTCTACGTTGAAACTAGTTAGTTAGTTAGTCAGGCAGTCAGTCAGTCAATCAATCAGATACATTGTTTTCCATTTCTCCTCAATCGTTTCAGACGTGCGTATAGTAGAATGTGCTACTGTTGCCAACATGTGGCCTTTTTATTATTGAGGATCTAGTAGAAATTGAATTATCGCATTGGATTTATGAAGAAGCCATTATTGTTGTACACCATCAACGAAGTGATCGCTTGTTCAACCTTCCTCTAATCTTATGTCGGTTTCGAGTTGAAAACGCTGCTAAGAATACTATACATCACCATTCCTTTTTGAATGTTAAATCGTTTTGTGTGCACATTGTGGGTTCAAGTTTTCCATCTTATAAATAATAACTAGTTGCGTTAACCACTACTACTACTACTATTCTGAGACATGTGTGAGCCACGAAGTTATCTGATCGATTCGATTCCTACCAAATTGGGTCATGACTTATCGACAAATGTTAACACGATTCAACTACTCTGTAAAATCTAGCTATACATCAATTCGAGCTGACCAATTCCACTTCTTCCGACTGCTTCCAGGAATAGGAGAAGAGTGAAGTGTTTATAATAGCAGTACCCAGCTATAGCTGCTGGCAGAAGTGGGTTTATCACTTTGACAATTCGTTGAAAAATTCAGTGAACATATTATTTTTAATTACCGAAGAGCTCCAACTATGCTGTATGCATATAAATGGCACATCATCTATTTTATTTAAACGCAGAAAAAACTTGGTACAATATGGCACCAAGAAAGATGCACCACACAATAATAATAAAACAACATAGATTAAAAGTAAAAATATAGGTACAGAACGGATAAAGAACTTCATCTGGAAGGAAAACAGTCATGTTCAAACAAGTTCAAACAGTATTCGTTAACTATCATCAAGAGAGGAAGAAAGAAAGAAATTGCAACACGCTCGCCATTGATTACGATTCTTGGCCACATCTGATAACGTTTCGAGCCATCGATTCGGGCTATCTCGCGGACCCCAACCAGGGAGTCGTGACGCACCAACTGATGCTAATCTAGCACAAAAATCCTTCATCCCACGACGTCACGCGCCATGGACTGACCAATCCTCCGCCTTTTCCATTCCGTCCCAGGGCTGGCTAGCGAACAGAGACCTGTGCGGAAGCCTCTGGGATGACATTCGAAGCACATGTCCAAGCCACCGGAGCCGGTGTTTCCAGATGACGACACTCAATGAATGGTGATCTCCACTGTGTTTAAACACACGCCGCCGAACCTCAGAATTACTCACACGATGATGCCATCGAACGCAAGCAATCCTGTGAAGACAGCGATGGTCGAACACGCAGAGTCGCCTCTCATCCTCAGCTCGGAGAGGCCAGGTTTCACAGGTATAGGGCAAGACAGCCTGCACCGAAGCATTATATACCCGACCTTCGACAGCCAGGCTAACGTCGCGACGGCGCCAGAGGTGGCTGAAGTTGATGTATGCCACCCTAGCCTTCATTATACGGTTGGAAATCTCATCCGTCACCCCTCCACCAGCACTCACACAACTACCCAGATACACAAACTTATCAACAACTTCAAGCGGTTCACCCGCAAGCGCACTTAGACGGTGCAAAGCACACCATACTTGCAGGCGCATCTGGATTAAAAACGTTTCTGTACTATTTCATCTTGTCTGACAACCTGCTACATCCTAGGGTGAATGGCTAAACTTCGGTTTTCCTCTCGAATATCTCCCATGTGGTCACGCGTCTGCCAGACAAGTACCGCTCACCACCTTCACACGGCACACATGTTGTTCCTCACAAAGGTGAAGGAGTGAATGTTAACGTTTGACACTTATAACCGGATTGGTGGACATATGCTGTTTGGTATAGGAGAGCTGGAAAAACCATGACTTTTCAAACCTATGGTGTACATGGGCAGCACAATCATAGTCTCCGCTTATACCCCAACCGACTGCAGGTCAGATAAACCAAAAGATGACTCCCACCAGAAACTGTCTAGTTTGCTGTAAAAAGCAAAATGCTCAAATATAGTTATTTTAGCAGGTGACTTCAATGCCCAATTAGGGAAGTTGTGCCAGACTGAGAAGTATTTAGATGACACGAATGGAGTTCCCTGCCGACGAAGTGACAACGGTGATCGTCTTCTACAGTTCTGTTCAGATAATCATCTGTTCCTAGTCAGCTAACGTCTGACACTTACAACCGGACTGGTGAATATGCTGTCCGGCATAGGGGAGCTGGAAAAACCCTGACTTTTCAAACCTATGGTGTACATGGGCTACACAATCTAAATGGATCGAATGGCACATGAACCTGTTTTAGCCATCCACAACCATGTGAACGTAGCTCCTGACGCTGGTCCACTGCCTTGTGGACTTGATTTCAAGTACAATACTGGGGGTTGTGGTCCCTTTTGTTTATGTGGCGCATCTCTTGGTGCCCATAATATTCCAAGTTTCTGTTTTAATACTACTAATAATAATACTAATAACAATAATAGAAATAATTCCATTGCATATATATTCCATTTGTTACAATTACAGCTGCACGGAAACATGTAAATCGTATGTGTGTATCAGCAAAGATTCCTCTAATCGAATCTGGTACTGCTGGTTACCTGGGACAAGTTGAACCATTGCTTCCTGTCATTCAACTAGATGATGAATCGACAAATTTGGACGGAAAACTGAATGACAATTTGTCAGCCTATCGTACTGGATGTTATGAATGTCAACCACGGGGTTTAGGCCAACGTCATTATCCTGCTTGTACTATACGTAATACACCGTCTGAACCAATCCATTGTGTTGTATGGGCTAAGTACTTATTCAAGTAAGATAGTTTATATGTGTTGACTAGTTTTACTCGATGAAAAATTCATGTGGTAGGCGATGTAGTCAAGTGTATAGAATAGTTATTGCTAATTTTGTTGACTTCAACCAGTTGTACAGTGGGTGCGCGCCAAACCTGTGCTGAAGTTTGGACAGCGTCGGTGGCTTAATGATAAAGTGCTTACCAAACCACACATGTGCTCCGGGTCTCGATCCCTGGCCGATGCACTCCTAAACCTACCTCTCTAAGCCGGTAATAAGATCGGTAAAGAGGGAAGGTTGGGGATGAGGCTAGCAACCCTCGCCACCCCGTGAAAATAGAAACAACTACTGCTACCGAAACCTTGAAAAGAGCTCTAGCTTGAAGTCCCATATTCCACTGGGAGCGTCAAGGTGTAAAATAAAAAAAATTAATAAGCTGTATGCGACCTAGATTTCGCGGATGATTTATGTTTGATGTCACACAAAATCGAAGACTTACAAGCGAAAACCGACAAACTGGTCGAAGAAGCAGCCAGAGAAGACAGGACTCCAAGTGAACATAGACAAGACGGAGGTTATGAAAATAACCAACCAACCAACAACAACAGGAGCAACATCCAGCGCCAATCACCATCAACGGGAGGCATTTGAAAGAGGTTACTTCTTCCACTTATCTAGGGATCATTGTCTCAACTACAGGAGGAACGGACGAGGATGTCAAATCGAGAATCGGGAATCGTGAAGGCGAGAAACACATTCATCAACCTGAAACCAATCTGGAAATCTTCCGCTGTCACTCAGGATCAACAACAAAATGATTCGGATTTTCAATACAAACGCCAAGTCAGTCAGTTCTTCTATACGGATGAGAAACTTGGCGGGTCACAAAGAATATTTCCAACAGCCTGTTGCGGACCTTTATCAACAACTGTCTTCGTTCTATAGTAAAGATCAGATGGCCGGAAAGAATCACCAACAAGAAACTATGGGAAAAAACAAAACAAGAACCAATCGCTCAACAAATATGCAGGAGAAAGTGGAGATGGATTGGACACTCGCTGAGGATGCCGCTGGGTGACATCGCGCGTCAGGCCATGGCTCGAGTGGAACCCGAAAGGGAAGCGGCGAGTGGTTCGTCGGTGCAAGGGTGACATGGAGGAGATCGTGTAAAGAGGAGTTGAAACAGTATGGATTAACATGGACACAGGTGAAAAGTACAGCAGAAGACAGAAACAAGTGGAGACGTTTAGTTGAAGCCCTATGTTCCACTAGGAACCCAAGGAAATAATAATAATAATAATGCGACAGTTCATGAGTATACACGTGATTGTTGAATTGTAGTGTATATCGATGAAAAGACATGAATTCATCATGGTATATACTATTTAATTGATTGACAGGAGTTGGACACCAGTCACATCGATCAGCAGTGCTTACTTAGCCATCCAGATCGAAGCGATTCAAACATCGAGCAGTCTTTTCGCCACATCGGTTGAGATGGCTAGGATACGTGTTGTGCATGTCGAACAATGCTAGCTGACATAGGATTAGGTTTGAAGAGAGTTATTGATGGTGAAGCCGAAACCTGGACTCAATCCATATAGTCTTTATCAGCTGGTTTGAGCCAACCACGCAGGGAGGTGCGGCTTACCTGGTTAGCGTTATCAGGATCCTGGACCTTCCATATCTATTGAACCGTTCTGTGTTTCCCACGTTACTTTTTCTCTCTGACGATTTTACTCATTATGGTTCTTTTCAATCTTTTTTGTCTCTTCACATATGGGTAGAACTTGGCCACTGTAGTACTATGTCATTCCGTATTAATTTATTGATTAGATATATCACTCACAGTGAGTGAAACAGTATTATTATTATTTACCGATGGTTGGAAACAATTGGTGACATGGCTCAAAATCGTTTTCAATGGTTGGTGCAGATGCATCCACTCCTTGTGACTAATGATTTCCAATGAAACTGTTTTGTTCTTCGTTATTACTATTCCTTTGTCTCACACCTCTGTTTACAGTCTCTAATATGCATATCTCCTACTTTCTTCTCTTGCTTTGTGTGCTACAAGGAGTGGAGTGTGGCGACTTGAACTGCTGCATATCGGTGCAAAGTTCTATGTCGAAAACAGACAGACAGACATTATTATTTACTGGATGACTGAGTTTCGAACACAATTTATTATTATTGTTCATAATCATTTCAGTAATTATAATCACACGGCTTCTTTACTATTTGTCGTCGTGTACGGGTAGTAGAACTTTACAAATGTCCGGGTGGACAGGTGTTGAATCATTCCTATCACAAGTATTCTCCTCAGTTGATTCGATAATTAAAGCTTCAGTCAGTCAGTTATCGATCTCTCCCGCCACCTTGTTGTTGCATTAGATTTTAGAACTGTCATCTTATCCCATCCCATCGTATTGCATGGTTGTGTGTGTAATTGCATATAGTGAGTGCTATAGCTGAACTATTCTCTAGATTTCTTATCTTATAAGGGTCAAGTAATCTGGATTTGGCTAGATTTTTGAGAAGCTTTGAAACTTAATAATTACCCTGATAGATTAATCAGGAAGTATGTAGGAAAATGTAAAAATAAAATTGATAATGATAGTAGTGATAGTGATAATAATAATGATATTAATGATGACATGGTTGTCAAACATGCACAGGATAATGACAACACCAACTATGGGGAATTTAAGTCGTCAGTAGTACTTCCATGCAAAGAAGCGACGTCGGAAACCTTAAGGAAAATTCCTAACCATGCAGGAACGAATAAAAGTGGAATTCAAACCAACCACAAACTCAATTGCAAACAAGCTTTGTCGGTTAAAGCGTTGATCCTGTAGAGCCTTTAAAACAAAACAATTTAGTTTATCTAATACCCTGCTGGAATGATTGTCAGGTCAAATACATAGGTCAAAATAGTAGAACAGGGGCAGTCAGTCAGACTAGCGGAGAATAAAAACTTAGCAAAACCTAGATTGTTTGATCCAAATAAGATAAGAAATCTAGAGAATAGTGCAGCTACAGCACTGCACTACACTACATGCATTCACACGCAACCATGCAACAGGATGGGATGGGATAAGATGACAGTTTTAAAATCGAATTTAACAGCAGGGTGAAGGGAGAGATCGATAACTGACTGAATCAACTGAGAGCGGATACGTGTAATAGGAATGATTCAACACCTGTCCACCCAGTTATCTGGAAATAGCAGAGAACAAAGAAAACTATGAAACGAAAGTTTCGAAGTTGTGTGATTATAATTGATGCTGTGATTATTGAACAATGATGAATTGTGTTCGAAACATTGTTTTACTCACTGTGACTGATATATCTAATCAACACTTTATGTGTTGACAACTTGAACTGTAGCACTTTTCTGCAAAGTTTCCGTATAGAGATGCAGTCATTTGGCTTAACACAACTTATAAATTCGAGTAAACAGTGGTAATTACCTTTATATGGAATTGGTATAATATATTTCAGCGTGTTTGAGAACTTACTTAAACTTACACAGTTCTGCATCCCTGTATCTTTAATTAAATATTATAACAATTATGGAAGTTTCATTATAATAAAGGTTTCTGTATTTCCCAATGAATGAAAAACAAAACGATATTGTTTTTACTGACGTTTCGCTATTTAATGCTGCTAATAGCTTTATCAAAGTATTATTAAACCGGAATTTACAAAATCTCAGCATATATATAACAAACAGTTAGGGGGTGAGAAAATAGACATAGGTCAAGTTAAAGGGACATATTGAAAGTAAAAATAGCAATGAAGATAACTAAACCAAATAACAAAGGTAATAGTACGTCTGTTATGATATCAAAACAAAGTTTACTAACTTGATCATCGTTCGTCAGTCTGGGGGCATTTTTCGTTGTCAAGTTGGTCATTTGGTAAAGATAACAAAATCAAGTGTGGATTGTTGGATTTGATCGGTGTGTAAAATTATAAAAGTAGTGTGTGTTTACATAGTGAACTTGCTTATCACATTCGTGTTGATTTTGTCACTTGGTGGGGGAGGGAGGTGTTGTAACCAGGTCAGATTCTGTTTTAGTCCATCATTCCTATTCAGGCAATTTTGATTCCACTTGATATGAAGTGCTTCTGATATTAGACGTTCTTTGTGATTTCTGAAGTTTTTCTGGATTATTTCAATATTGTCAAAATCAATTTTGTGACCTGATTCTATAGCATGTAGACCTATGGCTGATGATTTTTCAAGTTTTTGTAGTTCAACAGGATTTCTCGGTGGTCGAATAGATGCTCTATGGTGTTCATTTCTTCTGATTTTGATTTCTCGAGATGTTTGTCCGATGTATATCGCATCACATTCCAAGCATTTTATTTTATAGACACAATTAGATAGAGAATCTTTAGGGATTTGGTCTTTTATATGGACAAGGTTGCTTTGAAGTGTGTGTGATGTTTTGAAGAAAACTCTAATGTCGAGTTGATTGAGTACTCTTCTGATATCGTCTGACGTCTCTGCTCTATATGGAATGACGACTGTTGATGTCCATGTTTTCGGAATGCGTTTTCGGCCATACTTAATGTCTGTGTTGATTTTGTTGATGAAGTCCCTTGGGTAGTTGTTTTGCTTGAGAGTTTCAGTAATGTTTGATATTTCTTCTTCTTTTTCTTTCTCGTCGGTTATCAGAGAGTGTGCTTGTCTAAGAAGACTTGAAACAACTTAAATCTTTGCGCTGATGGGGTGGGATGATTTGAAGTCTAAATATTTATTTGAGTGGGTTTTCTTCCTACATATGGATATACTAAAATGTCCCTTTTCCCTTCTCTTAACTAGGCAATTTAGAAATGGTAGTTCACCGACGTCTGATTCTGCTTCCGAAGTGAATTGGATTCTGGGAGATACACAGTTAATTTTATTCTCCAAGAATGAAATGTGTAGATCTCGTTTTAGTACTACAAAAGTGTCATCTACATATCTTAACCATATTTTAGGAGTGAGTATGCTTGAAAAGATGTTATTTTCGAATCTATTCCTGAAAAGGTCAGTGACCATTGGGGAAACTGGTGAACCCACAGAAACACCATTTGTCTGTCTATATAAACTCCCTTTAAATGTAAAACAATTATTTTCTAGACAGAATTTTAAGCTCTTAATTATAATGAATATCATATACCCAATGCCCAAATTTTTTCAAACCGTTAAAAATGAACTTGGTTTGGACATATATAAATTATGTAAAAGTTTGTTGAGCATTTTTTCTTTCCATGTTTTTTTCTCACATCAAAAATAAAATCTTCTAGTCAGTTATTTGGTCAGTCGGATGTCGACGATGAAGATATCTCTCCAGATTTCTCAGATCCAGATCTACATAATCACGATCATAATAATAATAATAGTCAAATTGAAGAGAAGTTGTCTACAAACAGCTCCACCGATAATACACATAATTCAGAAGTAAAGAAGCCAAATCAACTAACCTTAAGAGAATGGTTTCGTCAACTTTCGTCTAGCCATTCTAATTCAACGGATACTGGGCTTCCATCCTCCCCTGCTAGTTCACTCGCTTGGAGATTATTTCATCGGGATATTGTCACCTTGGTTGGTATGCGTGATCTATGGGTAGATCGTCAAGATCGTCGTGAACCAACACCATTGGAGATGTCTACATTGAAGGAGGCGATCATAAACCATGCCTCAGGTATAATCATTTCATTTTGTTTGATTAAGAAGTGCTTTGCTTCTGTAAAAATATTTTGTGAATAACTTTCGACCTAATCTGGTCGTTTTTATTTTCGTGTGAGAGTAAGACATCAAATTCCTTTGATATGTAATTTGGTGTTATTAATATTATTAAAACACTAACATGGTACATTTGGGGCTGCATAAATTGTTGTGCGACAGCTGGGATACTGTCCGGACGGCTAGACCGAAACAGGTGTTTGTCTCAAGGGACTATCCCTCACCAATCCTTTGACTTGAGTTCTTATTGACGAGGCAATGGAACAACGTCAGGAGCTGTGTTCCGATAGTTGTCGTCGATCGAAACAGGTTCATACGTCATTCCATCCTTCCGGGTTGTTAAGCCCCCGAGTACATCAGGGTTTTCCAGCTCCCTTAGGTAGATCTGAATATGTAGCTCTGGTTCATTGGTCAAGGATCTGGGGGAAGCGGTTGGGACCTCACTGCACGCACGTAAGGTTTGAGCAGCTAGGCAGTATGACTAGACGTCACAAAATAGGTGTGACTGGTTGTTGTTCAGTTGCATAGGCAACAGAAATGACTTTTGAAGTTACATTCCCTCCTTTTTTGTTTCCTTTTTATTTATTTTATATTTTATTGTAGCTTGATTCCACACAGTATTTTGATGTAAGTATGGAATTTTCAGCATGCGATATCGGTAGCCCAAATTTAGCAGGCCGACCATAGATATCAGGTGTGCGTCGGCGGGGGATCGAACCCCGGACCATGTGCATGGTCGGCGAGAGTCCTAACCACTGTGCCACCGAGGGGATAATGATATCACACTGGATCACACTATGTAGATACATTCTTCTCACTTGATTTCTATTGGCAACGGTTTGTGCACTTTTCGATGGCGTGCTTCGATAAACAGTTGTTGAGGTCTGGAATATGCTGAAGTGTTTGTTTACTATTTCCACCGATAGAATCGATGACTAACGGCCGGCGGGGGGTATACTGATGGAAAAAATAGTTTGTCATATTGGTTGTTTTTGACTATTTTAATGTGTATACTTTTCGTTCAAGGGGTTATTCTTTATTTGATGCGTTCGCATTTCGAACGGAACATAGCGCTTCAAGTTTTGAATTTTAAATGGCATTGATGTTACTAGCCTCATGCCTCCATCAACAAATGAACGTTGGACTGAAACAGACTACATAGCGATAGGGTATTGTCGGCGAGGGTCAGTAGAAGACTGCCTCTCCGTCTGGAACACGTGCGTAGACTTCGACCACGCCTTGGTTCCTGCACGTCTATGCTTACTACTAAACGAACATAAAAAACTGTTGGCAGCGAAGCAGTTCAACCTCCAGCTAGATCAAGACACTGAGTCTCTGTTCAAGGAAGAAATAGCGAAATCAGTATCTGAGGTCAAGAGCAAGACTCCTTGTAAGGAAGCCTGGCACAACATACAGTTACCTGTAGACACAGCTGTAATAGCTGTTAATAACATAAAACCAAAAGTGCCAGTGGTTTTCTACTGTTTCATCCGAGATGATTAAGGCAGGAAGACCGATTCCGGAGAGCTCCGAATATGATGAGGAGCGAAAGCTGCTCAAAAACGCAAACTAACAAGAAGTTTTCTCAATGAATCCAGACCTAACCTCCTCTCTTTACCTGGCTCACTACTGGCTAGGCGAGGTTTAGAGGATGCGCGTCGGCCAGGAATCGAACCGGGACCTTCCACATGAGTTGGCAACCATTCCAGGAAAAAATAAAAGATCTTAATTGTGATTGTTATGTCTGTCATTATGTTCAACAGGTTCCATGTCTATTTACAAGCTTCATATGATCTCCTCCAAGTTACTGTCAGACTCTGAACTCGTCACTTTCTATTGAGAGTACACTCGAGAGACTGGCGAGTGATGTCAATTTCGCGGTCTCCTCAGCATATGTCCATTCCTTTCTGCTCATTTGTTGGACAGTACACTATTACCAGAGTCCCTTGGTGTTTGTCGTTTGTAACCATCTGAACTGCAGATTCCCACGAAGAGACAGCTGTTGATGAAAGTCCTACATTAGTTTGTTGGAAATGCTTTAGGGTGATGACGCGCCAAATTTCTGTACTCCACATAGAAGCACTAAGTGGTTATTTCCAAATAGTAATAATAATAATTTAGCCGGATGAAAATCACTAGAAGCTAGTGGAGAGGAGCAATAAAAATTCAAAGTGCACTCGGCACGCGCTTCATCACTGCCCCACCGAGACCATCGGGTTATAGGAGGATGACATCCCAGTTCAGTCACTGAGTTAAGTCCCAACGACCTACGAATTTCAGCTGCTGTCAGTCTGCAGTCTGATATCTCTGCCAGCCAATGTCATCTATAAATACGCGTCGCCGCACCGAACATGACGTCGCATTAGAAATGTAAGAAAATTTGTCTTACCACTGGGCATTGTTGACTTCAGGTGGCAGCTTAAATCTCAGTAATTCGATCTGTAGTAGGGATGGTCTGCAGTCACTTCTGATCGCTTCCTAATGTTAGTTCCTTGACGGAATTCATTTCAAAGTCAATGATGTGCCAACAAACTGGAAGTTAACTTTGATTGGACACTAGTAACTAGTGTGATGTGTCTGGTTGTTTTTTTGGTGCAGACTGAATTCTATCAGTCAGTCAGGTTTGCAATGTGGCCACCATTCTAAGTAGCTCGCCATCATGGTGCAAATTGATTTGGTGATATTAGATGGTTGGAGGCAATCGGCGGGAAGCCCTATCTGACCTAGGTTTCGTGCTAGTTGGCACTCACCAGTGCAGTCAGCAAGGCGTATCTACAACCTTGAAGGAACTCATGTCCTACGCCTCTGAGATTCGAACCCGCGTCACCCAGTGCCGCCTACAGTCAGAGACTTACCACTGAGCTATTCGGGCTCGTGATTAACCTTCTGTAGGACTGTAGTGGATATTATTTTTGTTTTGATTGGACACTAGTCACTAACTAGTGTTATATGTCTGGTCCTATCTTTGGTGCAGACTGAATTCTAGCAGTCAAGCTTGCAATGATTGGACGCTGACTGCAGCTCTGGGTGACGCAGGTTCGAATCTCAGAGGGGTGGGACATGAGTTCCCTCAAGGCGGTTGCAGATACGTCTTGCTGACTGCACTGGTGAGTGCCAACTAGCATGAGACCTAGGTCCAAGGCGGGGCTTCCTGTGACTGGTTGCCTCCAACCATCTAATGTCATCAAACTGTGGAAGTATGATTACAGTTTAAATCAAATAATTATTGATTAATCCTGTTCGATGTATAGATATGGAGTGAATGACTTGTCAAAAGTGTACATGTCCAAATTCTATAATTTTTTTGTCTATCAGTTTATCGCTTACAAGCATTTCTCTTCCTTCCCTTCTTCAAGCGTCGTCATGTACATCACTGGACTCATCAAATTCCAATGAACTACGCGATCAGCGTAAATTGTCCACATCTGGTTGGCTTGAAATCTTTTTGAATTCTGTTGAAAAATTACAAAGACAAGTAGAAGATGGCAGTGGAGACAAGTTTTTAGTATGGGATAAGGTGAGAAAGAAAAAAGTAATTTTAGATATATCAGAATTAACTGATTGTTTTTAAAATGTATCCCCCCGCCCTCGATCCCATCCCCATTTTCTCAGCTTATCATATTTTATATCATTATTATTGTTGGTATTCTCTTGGGTTCCTAGTGAAGCATATGGCTTCGGTCGGTCGGTTTTCGACATAGAACCTTGCACATATGTGCGGAAGTTCAAGTCGCCACACTCCATGTAGCACACAAAGCAAGAGAAGAAAGTAGGAGAAATGCATATTAGAGACAGTAAACAGAGGTGTGAGACGAAGGAATAGTAATAACGGAGAACAAAACAGTTTCATTGGAAATCATAAGTCACAAGGAGTGGATGCATCTGCACCGGCCAGCCATTGAGAACGATTTTGAGTCAGCCATATCACCAATTGTCTTCAGCCACCACTGTTTTTTTTACCGTCCTGAGGACCCCAACCAGGAAGTCTACACCTTCCTACGTGGCTTACACTAACTGTTGTGAATTTCATTGACTGGTGCCATGTTTTGGTTCAACCACCACTAGCTAGCTCTTTTCCAGCCTGACCCTATATCAGCTAACATTGCCCCCATTGTCGAGGAAGGTGATGGATGGCTAGGCATGCATACGTAACACATGTCCTAACCATTTCAGTCGATGTAATTTCACAGCTATGTCGATTGATTTCCCTCCTTACCTAGCACTCCACGCCTAACCTCAATATTGCTCACCTTATTATACCACTTCACACGGGAGATAGAACGCAGACACCTATGATCAAAGACAGACAGCTAGGCTGTTGATATCTTCCACTCTCAATGGCCATGTCTCATTCACAGCCATTAAGGAGGACGGAACCGACTGCTGAGCAGTACACCCGCCCTGTGGTCGATAGTCGGATATCGCGCCAGAGACGACGTAAACTGGCATATGCGAAACTAGTCCTCTGTATTCGTACTGAGATTTCGTCGGCGATCAACCCGTTGGGGCTGATGGTACTTCCCAAGTAAGTGAAGCGGTCAACGTGCTCTACCACTTCACTTCCTATTTCTAATCTAGGGGTCGGTGAAGTCCAATCCTGCAGCATCATCTTACATTTTATAGGGGCGAATCGCATGCCAAACATACGAAGATTGTTGCTCAAGGTGTTCAGTAGACTCTGCATTTTGTCAGCGTCTTCGCCTAGAAGGACGTGCTGGCTTCAACAGCACATTTACATTCCAGTCTATTCTCTGTGGTCCTTTCCAGCTGGCTCCACTCCACGATTGCTCATTTCCTCCCTTACACGATGTTTTTCATGTGATGAACCTTGTCGTTTCCTATTCACGTTTCACTCGAGGTGCTTCTTGCTTAGGATGTGATGTCTGTCACTCAACAGTCTTTTTCAGTGTGTACCCAATCCATCCACTTTCATTCCCCTCTGCATGTTTGTTCGGTGTGTTAGGTACTTGATTGGTTCGTTGGCTGTTGTCAGAGTTGCTTGTCACTCATCCTTTTTGTTCGGTCATGTGATCTCCTAGTGAAGCCAGTTGTTGATGGGAGTCTGCCGATATTTGTTTAAATGATTTTATTATTCCCTTGGGTTCTGAGTGAAACATATGGCTTCAACAACACATCTCCACTTTGTTCTATTCTCTGCTGTCCTATTTAGCCGGTTCCACGATTACCCATAATCTCTTATCTCCTCCTCGCATCCCACGATCTCCTCCATATGACCCTCGCCTCGACGACCCACTCGTCGCTTCCCATTGGGATTCTACTTAGGTGATGGCCTGGCTAAACTTCTCATGTATTTCAATGGCCTCCTCAACACATATGCCCCATCGATCTCCATTTTCTCCTACATATTTGTTGAGCGATCGGCTCTTGGTTGATTGGTTAGTTTGTTCCACTGCAGAGTATCTTGTTGTTAATTGTTTCTGGCCAGCCGCCCGGCCAGCCATTTGATCTTCAGTATGCAGCCAACCAGCGAGGGTAGCAGCTGTTGGTAAAAGTCTGAAGTCTGCCGTAGCCTATTGGCACACATCAAGTCTGTAGACCGTACAGAAGAATTAGCCAACTTGACGATACTTTAATAGGTGGATGGTGACTAGCAGTGGAATCCAGGATAACGCGCATTTCGTCCTATTTGGGACTCGTCATCTGGATGTGCCTGCATTCCCAGTCAGTGATGATGTTCCCAGCGAGGCTCGAACCCACTGACCATAGGTTCAAACGCCAAAGCGTTATCCACCAGACCACTTGGACCACGAGAGCCATCTCTTGTGCAACGGGTCATATTAATTATTTAATTGAATTTTAGATTTTCCCTTCGATTGATTGGACCGAAGTGCTCGGTTTCAGGTTGACATGTCGGGAACATCATCACTCAATGAAGAATGCAGGCACATCCAGCTGGCGAGTTCCAAATAGGACGAAATGCGCGTTATCCTGGATTCCACCACTGCTAATCACCATCCACCAATCCACTTCTAATTACATGCCCAGACATCGTCGAAGCATCTGCACAAGAAGTCGACATGTCAACCTGAGACCGAACACTTCGGTTCAATCAATCGATGGGAAAATCTAAAATTCAGTTAAAATCGACAGTACTGTTGAAAATCTCAATGTTTTTCCTTATGGTGATTTCAAGCCTTGTATATGTGCAAGGATATTTTAATGAGATATTGTACATATATTAAATATTTGAATTAGGGTTTAGTGGGATGATTCGCTATGGGAAGGAAAGACTAGGAAGCATTTCATAGTTTAGTTCTCCTGTAGACCTGTGCATGTTGGAAGGTATTCTCAAGACTCATGTTAATGTACGTCTGTCTGTCTGTCTGACGCCTATCCACAAAAGTTACAAGTGATTCATTTTCTTTATGATCTTACTTCTGAAGGGACTGGAGTGTTAATTCACTGACAAGTATTACTGGGCGATGATTAGGGCTGAAATGAATATCAGGTTAGCAGCAGCATTCACAGAATTTGAACCAGTGATCTGTGAACTATATTGTGATCTCTGAGTGCTAATCAAGTCACCATTATTCCACTGCAATAATCACCGTATCATAATGCCCACCTGTTCCATATACTTGAGCAGCAATCTTCGTATGTTTCGCATGCGATTCGCCCCTGTAAAATGTAAGATGCTGCTACAGGAATGACTGGACTACGTCTACCCCTAGCTTAGTGATAGGGAGTGAAGCGATAGAACATGTTGACCACTTCACCTATTTGGGAAGTTGTATCACCACCAACAGACTGATTGGCGACGAAATCTCACCACGGATCCAAAAAGCTCGAGCTGCTTTCGCTAACTTACACCATCTCTGGCGTAGGCGTGACATCCGACTATCAACCAAGGGACGTGTGTACTGCTCAGCAGTTCGCTCCGTCCTTCTCTATGGCTGGCTCTGAAACATGGCCAATACGAGTTGAAGACATGAAAAGGTTGACTGTTTTTGATCATAGATTTCTACGATCTCTTTCTCGCGTTAGGTGGTATAATAAGGTAAGTAATGTTGACGTTAGGCGTAGAGTGTTGGGCGTGGAGGGAAAATCAATCGACGAGGCTATAAAGTTACATAGATTGAGATGGCTAGGTCACGTACTGCGCATGCCTAACCATCGTCTCCCCCGGCGGGCATTACTAGCTGATATAGGTGCAGGTTGGAAGTAAGAAAGAGTAAGTGGTGGCCAGACAAAAACATGGCCTCATCAATCCATGAAATCCTTGACAGTTAGACTGAGTCAGGTAGGGAGGGAGATGCAGACTTCGGGGTTGGGGCCCGCCCTCAGGACTCTAAGAATCAATCAATGGCTGGAAACAATAGGTGACATGGCTGAAAATCGTTGTCAATGGCTTACGCAGATGTATTCAGTAGTCTCTGTAATCTTTCATATTCCTTTCTACCATTACTCATTCTGTTTCATTCTTATACTACTTGTCAAAACTCTATTGATTCTCTTCACTCATTTTCCTGTCTCCCTTTGTGTGCTATTTGGAACGTGGCAACTCGAACTGGTGCACTTTGGTGGCAAGTTCTATGTTGAATGCAGACAGACCTGTTCCATATGTATGATGAATGAGTGACTTGGAAGCATCACATTAGTTGCCTGTTCACTTGACAGCTGGTCAATTCTGTGTGATAATTGCGGTGAAACAATGATGACCTGGTTGGTTGGTTGGTTGGTTGGCAGTTTTACTATTTTTCCAACTCGATCTGATTTTCAGTGCCTTTTGATCAAAATAACACTTTATGTCTGTTGAGTGAGTTGGCCAGAGTAACATTTTGACGTGCAAAGTTTTAGAACATGATGATATCCACTTTTGGTTTGATGGTTTGACTAGCAGTGGGATCCTAGTGGCGTATTTTTTGTCCTCATCTGGATGTACGTGCATCCATAGGGAGTGAGTCAGTGATAGTGTTCCCATAGGGAATCGAACACAGTCACTGAGTCGACGGGAAATTTGAATTAACCTGGGAACTGCCTGTATTTGTGTAATAATAATTGCTATTTAAACACAAGCTTGGTAAATTATAGTCACCAAGAGGATGCGCTGCTCAAAATTGTCTTATAGTTTGTACAAGAAACAGTTGGTTGTTTTGACAAGCCACTACCGGGCCCCCAAGCCTTTGACTTGAAGCTTGATTCACATGACAGTGGGGCAGTATTAAAAGCTATGTTCCCATAGTTGTAGGTGACCCCAAACGGGTCTGATTCGCTGTCCGATTCTTTTGGGTTGTGGAGCTCATAGGTTTGGAATCGGGTTGGGTTTTACGGCTCCTCTAGGTAGACCTAGATGTCCACCATTCAGGAAGTTCGTATTCACCCTTTCGGTTTTGGGAGGAACACCTGTACCGCATAAATAAAAGTGAATGGGGATACGAACGCGTGGTGGTCACATCAAAGAGAGCATTTCGAGAGATAGATGGAAGTCTATCCACCCTCGGTCGTACAAGGTTGTTTATGGGTGGATTCGAGTTCGCAAATGGCCGACTTAACACTAACCGTATAATTCTTACCAATACTATGCTTTGTTATGGTTAAGTCTGTGTTAGTCTACTAACCGCGCATATTGATGTTTTAGAGTTGAATTGTTTGCCAAACAATTCGGGTGGGTATATGTTTCTTCCAACCCTCACCTACAAAACACAGTAACTCCTCTCCATAGGTATGTACCTTCGTACATATACATGTTAATCGATATACAATATTGGTTGTGACGTAATTTTTCTTCCCACCTTTTGTTTTGCATATCATCGCCATCATCAGGATGATCAAGAAGCTATGGATTTTGTGGCATCCGCTGCTGTTATTCGATCACAGTTGTTCCATTTACCCGGTGCTGATCAACTCACACGATTTACAATCAAATCATTAGCTGGGAATATAATCCCTGCAGTAGCGTCTACAAATGCAATTGTCGCTGGGCTGATGGTACTTCAAGCTAGACATATTTTATCGAAACATTATGAGGTAAATTATTTTGTTATCTTGATTGATTTTATTGATCACTATGTGTGTGTGTGTTTGCGTGTGCGTTTGTGTGTACGTTTCCCTTTTCTGATGATTTGCGACAAAGTTTTCAGAGCTTCGAAGACACATCTGTTATTGTATAATGTCAATTTACGTATATAATCGGTGGGTATTGATCTCAGTCAGGAGTAAAAACTGTGTATAGTAGTCTGTCAATGATGGCTAGCGGTAGAATCGAGGGCGTGCGTTTCTTCCTATTTCGGATTCGTCTGATGGATATGCCTATATACATGGGAGAAGTAGTATTCCCGCTGAAACTCGTTCCAAACTCCCCCAGCATTACCCACAACTGCTTAGATAGTGATGAATTGTGTCAGTTAATGGAAGCAAAACTGTCGTATGTATAAGAAGACTAAACTAATTAATCATTGTCTTAGGTTGTGAAGACATTTGGGAGACACAGAAATCCTGTGTATCTTGAAAGAATAATCAATTAGTTGGAGGATTTCTTTACGAGCTAACATCGGTTAGAGAACCACTGGAAAATCTGAGAGTACTGGACAGCCAGCTGTTTCGTCAGCCTAGTTATGGGCTCATTGGCAGTACGCACCCACTTACCTCCAGCGTTCGAACGCATGACCTTCTGGTTACAAGGCTAGCGAGCTCGTAGATCAATAAGCCACTGGGACACAATCCAATGGCTAGTCCAAGAATTCTAACCTCTACCAATTCACGACATAGCGCGACCACTTCGCAATGTCTTGTTCGATGAGTAACTGTCCTTACCTTCCACCTGCTGTACCCTACTGGTCATGGTTTCCTCAACCAAACAGACGAAATCTCTACAAAACAATACTGGAAAACTAATTAATCATTCAAATCACTTCTGGATCGCTCTGTTGGTATCTGTTTAACTAAATAATGGATTTCTGGATGTGGAATCGCCGTAACACAAATCTTTATCGGATCACATGTTAAGATTCATTTAGACGACACAACCAATGGTCAAATCTAGATACATTAATAGTCCAGTTTTGTGAAAGGATTCTAAATTACCTCTCGTGTGTTCAGTTGTGGTTTAAAAGTGTAGTTTATGGTGTAGAACCGTTTATTTCCGGAATAAAGTAGCGTTGTTTGAGATTGTATTTCTGGAGAAGAAAACACTTCCCAAGGAATGTTAGTCATCTGAAGTGAGCATCGTACTGCTGCTTCACACCTCGTGAAGCCTTGCCTTCCCGATCCTTGCTTTGATATCCTCGTCACTTTCGTCCGCCTGTAGTTGAAACGATGCTTCACAGGAAGATGAAGGAGGTTGTTTTTTTCAGGTTCCTCCCATTTATGCTGGCTGATCGTTGTTGATCTCTACACAGACTTGAGAGAAATGAAAGCTTGCCTTTTTTTCCCCATCCTTGCTGCTTTGATATCCTCATTAGTTCGGTCGGCCTGTAGTTGAAACGATGCTTCCTAGGTCGGTAGGTAAAGGAGGTTGCTTCTTTCAGATTTCTCCCACTTATGTTGATTGTTGTCTGCTGTTGTTGCTGCTGTTTCTCTTGGCCAGGAATCTTCATCATCACCTCTGTTTTCTGAATGTTCACCTGAATTCACATCTTTCTTTGATGCTTCTTCTGCCAACTTGTTGCTTTTCATCACATGCATATCTTCCAGTTTGTGAGAAATCAGACAAATATCACATCGACGAAGTGCAGATCCTCCAAGTTTTTTGTGTGGTCTATTTTCATTGCTCATGTCTAATTTTTAACCATTGTCTGTTAATCCACGAAAAGTTATAACATTATTGATATAAGTGTGAAACTTGGGCACTGTGGTAGAGTATAACTCCATTATAGATGAAATTTTATTTTGACAAAATTACACAGTGCTGTTATACAGTAATATTAACTGATGACCACGTTTCGAGCACAAACTATTGCCACTCATAATCACATCAAGTTACTCACACAACTTGCTTCATTTATATACATGAGTAAAAATTGATGATTAGACATTTGAATAAAATAAATGTAAGATAATGTGTATTCGGAAATAATATTAGCATTATCAATCAAGTAAATCAGATGGGAAATAAGACAAGTGTTTTTATAGTCATAATAAGTAACTTGTTAGAATGTTTTGATGTGCTTGAATTGAAATCGAATTTTGAGATTATTTATTATCCTCCTGTAGGTAGGCTCTCTGTAGGCTTATAGACCCGATGGACCCAATTAGACAAAATAATATAATTTACAAAATACCTTGCAATGACTGTGAGTTAGGTCAACTAAATAGGTCAAACTAGTAGGTCGGGGGTAGTCAGATTGTCGGAACATAAGAATTCAGCTAAGGTAAGAATGGTTGATCCCGAGAAAATAAGTAATTTAGGGAAAAGCTCAACACTACATTGCACTGCATGTATTGACACACACAATAGGGTGGGGGAGGGTTAAAATTCTAAAAAGTAATATAAGTAAGTGGAGAGCGAGAGAGGTTGATTACTGAACCCTGGTTCATTGAGTCTACGCCCAACACAAGTAACAGAAATGATTCAATGCAAATACCAGAGATATGCATGGAAGATATTATTACCACCAGTCAGTCAAATCACAGGAGGATAAATAATCTTAAAATTCTATTTCAATTCAAACACATCACAACATTCTAACAGGTTACTTATGTTTTACTGTAAAAACACTCGTCTTATTTTCCATCTAAATGTATTTGATCAATAACACTCATATTAATAATTCTGAATGTACATTATCTCATATTGAATTTTATTCCAATATCTAATCGATTCCACTCATGGACATAAATGAAGGAAAAAAGTTGTGTGAGTAACTTGATGTGATTATGACTGGCAATAGTTTGTGCTCGAAACGTGGTCACATCAGTTAATATTACTGTGTAACAGCACTGTGTGATTTTATCAAAATAAAATCTTATCCATAATGGAAAAATTACAACAATTGTCCGTAAATTCAACTTTACGTTCTTAGTATTTACTCAATTTTCTCAAAACTCTGTGTGTGTGTGTGCGTGCGTGCGTGTATGCGTTGGCTACATGCAGTACAGCGTTGATTCTAAAAATTACTTCCTAACCCACCGTAGATTTAGTGAAGGATTTTTATTAGTGAATTCTCCATTCTACGAGCAGGTTGTTTACGACCCTATTGTAACTTTTCATTTTTACCAAATAAAGTGATCATATACAGTAAAGTCACTAAGTAAAGGATGTTTTCTTCTCAATATTTCCTCTTTATTTTTTGTTTCTAGCGTGTACGTACAGTCTACCTACATCGTCAACCAACTGGCCGTCGTGGCAATCGTCGTCTTGTTGTCCCAGTGAAACCTGCACCATCAAATCCTTCTTGCCTGGTATGCAGTGATACAATCAAAAATTCTCAGCTACGCTTAGTCTGTTCACCAGAAACACTTACTCTGCGTATTCTACGTGATCATATTCTAATCCGACATTTAGGCATGCTGGCACCAGATGTAGAACTGTCTGATCGTGGTGTTATTTTGATATCAAGTGAAGAGGGTGAGACAGATGAAGGTGGGTAGGTCGGGTAGCCAAATTGTCAGTAGATGATTTTCTATATTTTCAAGTGTTGCTTTACAGTTATTAGTTTGGTTACGGGTTTGGTCATTAAGTGACATTGGTTACAGAACCACCACTGGAAAGCCAGGGAGTACTGGATAGTTGTTTCGTCCTAGCATGAGACTCATCGGCAGTACACACACAGGACCTTCCGGTTACAAGGCGAGCTCGTATACCATATATCCATATTGAGACGATCCAATGACCGCCAGCCCATGAATTTCATTTCCTGCCAGTTCACGACATAATAATAATCCACCTTATTCCAAAAACAGTACTTATGTAATACAGAATGTAATTCTCAGCATTTGTCACAATATTGCATCTGATTTACTTAAAATATAAATAAAATTAACCATGGGAATTAGTCCACATTTACAATATGAAATGAAAAATTTTCAAAGTACGAATTGAGAATAATAACTCTGATAATGATAGTAATAATAACAATATTTATAATAATGATAATAATAATTACAGTGAGTCTGTTTCAAACAGTATTGTCGATTCAGTTTGAAAATTCTGGCATGTTATAGATTATGGAATCTAATGTTCTCTTGATATAGTATACTGAGGGTAAATACAAAAATAACAATTAATGCAGAGCTTAAATAATGTTCACACTTATGAAAAAATAAATAAATAAAAACAAAAAGTTGAGAGGATTATATATATAAGAGGAACAATAACAATAAAGGTTGATGTTGTAAGGGTGGAGAAAATGGTTTATTTACTGGTGTAAAGAAGGTTAGTTAGTTAGTTAGTTCATACCTAACACTGTTTTCATCACATAAATACTTGCCGGCAAATATGGTATAGTGGAATTTTTATACTTAGAAGCACGTGCATAAAGTCTTCCGAAAAGACTTCTTGTTTTACCTGAGGATACACAAGGTTGGAGCTGCGAGTAGAGTAGGTGCTCACAGTCTGAGAAAATTCCTTTAGCAAATTTGTTGCATGACATCAAGTGCCTATCACTGACAATGTCAACGATATGGCTCAATGGGATACCACTCGCCCTGCTGACAGTCTTCAGAGTTCTACGAAGTATGACATAGTCCTTTTTAAGCAATCCAAGAAAGAATAAGAGTGAACAGTAAAGAAGAATACGTAAAATACACGAGTTGACAAACTGCAAGAGGAGTGGTTGGGTTATGCCTGAGTGCCTTAACTTCTTAATGTAAAAAGTCAGACGAAATATTCTTTTAGAAATCGGTTAGACATGGGAAGACCAGGATAGGTCAGAAGTAAGAATTAATCCAAGATAATTAACTTCAGACTTGATTTCAATATCACTATCATCAATTTTGCAGCGGTCATAGGAACCAACAGCTTCATCGTTCAACTTTCTTTTCCATCGGAAACTGAAATTATCAGTCTGACACTTGGAAGGATTTAGTTTAAGACAGATCATTAGACGAAGACCATTTGCTAAATCCCGATAGCGCGATCACTAGCCAATATCATCGCTGGCCAGTTTTTGTCTTCACACCTGACCTGTCTGTGGAATACAGTCAGCTACACTGTTTACAAAGACGCAGCAATGACTAGTGTCTCTCTCTCTTTGTCTTGTCAAGTCTGCTCCTATGTAGGACAACTCTAGTTTGACGTTGACTGACTGATGCCTTATGCAAACTGTCCTCATTTACACAAATAAGCCTTCAGTTGGTATTAGATGGTTGGAGGCAATTGGCCACAGGAAGTCCCGCCTTGGACCTAGGTTTCCTGCTAGTTGGCACTCACCAGTGCAGTCAGCAAGACGTATCTGCAACCTTGAAGGAACTCATGTCCCATCCCTCTGAGATTCGAACCCGCGTCACCCAGTGCCGCCTGCAGTCAGAGACGTTACCACTGAGCCAGCTATTCAGGCTCGCGATTGACCTCCTGTAGAACTGACTGTATTAGATATTTTTGATTGCACACTAGTCAGTAACTAGTGTAATGTGTCTAGTCTCATCTTCTCTGCAGACTGAATTCTATCAATTGTATGCATTATATTATTGTGTAATTCTTTGTTATTGTTTTTTTTCTGTTCATTTTAGATACATTAAATAAAACACTGGCCGAGTTTAATATCACTCAGGATACATGTCTACAGTGTGATGACTTCCACCAGGATTTCACTCTACGTCTTATTGTATCTTGTATTAGTGTCGAGTCAGCGAGTCCACTGTCAAAATCATCAGACAACAATCGACCTACACAACAACAACAACAGCAGTACCAGCTGTTCGACAGTGACGATCATCTATCTGAACAATGGCGTATTTTAGGCAATGTGGATTCCGTGTTAACTACAGTCAAAGGTGGTAGCAGCAATAGTACAGCAAAATTACCATCTATACCTGAAGAGATTGTTATGGTGAATGGAAATGGGGAGAAGCATAAAGGTAATAAAGAGAAATTTACTTAATTGAAGTGTTCCATCCCACCTTCACAGCTTGGTGAATGTGAAGGTACCTGTAAAGCCGAAATGTTCTTCACCCTCTAGTGAAGGTTATCTGGTTTACGGTATAGCGTGTTAAAATGTAAAGAAGAAGTCAGTTAGAAGGGGAATATGTTGTGCCTATTTTTCATGCGTACTAGTGCTCCCATAGTAGATATCACACAATGATGCAGTTGTAATGACTGCATGATGACGTTTCCAGCATAAATTATTGCTGCTCATTATTAGTATTATTATTATTGTTCCCTTGGGTTCCTAGTGGAACATGGGGCTTCAAATACACGTCTCCACTTGCTTCTGTCTTCTGCTGTACTTATCACTTGCATCCATACTGCTTCACCTCCTCTTCGCACGATCTCCTCCATGTCACCCTTGCACTGACGTCCCACTCGCCGCTTCCCTTCCGGGTTCCACTCGAGCACTGGCCTGATGGGCGATGTCACCCAGCGGCCTCCTCAGCGAGTGTCCAATCTATCTCCACTTCCTTCTCCTGCATATTTGTTGGGCGATCGGTTCTTGTTTTGTTTGTTTCAATAGTTCCTTGTTGGTTCTTGTTCTTTCCGGCCACCTGATCTCCAGTATAGAGCGAAGACAGTTGTTGTTGATAAAGGTCTGCAACAGGCTGTTGGAAATATTCTTTGTGACCCGCTTGCTGCTCATAATTATATCATTTTAGTCACACGGCGTCATATACACATGTTTTCTCTTTCTATTCTTCTTGTTGTTGCCTGTAGCCATTCTCCATATCTCCGGTATGGGCGTTGCGTCATTCCGATTGCACTAGTGCGGTGTTGAATCGATAAACATAGATTCGGTGATTAATCTCTCTCTCTCCCTCTGGCTTCACCTAACTATATTACTTTTTAATATTTCCACCCTATCCCACTCATCCTGTTTTGTGATTACATGTAAGTGAATGTAGCGCAGTACTGTGTTTTTTCTAGGTTACATAACTTACTTAGCAGGATCAATCATTCTAGGTCTAGCTAAATTTTTATGTTCCAATAATCTAGTTGACCCCGATTTACTAGTTTCATCCCTATGTAATTGACCTCACCAACAGTTATTACATCATGGTATTTGGTTGTTTTTTTCAAATATTCCTTTACGTTCCCAGTGGAACATGGGGGGCTTCAAGCTAGCGCCCTTCTGAAGTTTCGGTGGCCGTGGTGTCTATTTTTTACGGGATGCGGTTGCTAGCCTCATGCCTAACCTTCTCTCTTTACCAGACTTATTACTGGCTTATAACTGGAACGGACACCTTACACACATCACTGTTGAAGGTTAAGGATGATAAAATAGAAGAAGAAAACCAACAAAATTGTGTGTGTGTACCGGATCAATGGTGGGGATTGTGACTTTGCTGTATATGTAGGAGAAACTTCCAGACAGGTAAATATAAGAATGAAAGAGCATAAACAATGTCCAAAGACCTCTGCAGACTTGAAGAAGCTAGAAAATAGGTCGGCGTTTGCACTGTACTCGATGGAAAGGGGACACAAAATCGACTTTGATAGGAGACTAAAATGCTGCACAAAGGTTTCAGTTCGTTTACAGAGAAACTCATTGCAGAAGCCCTACATATACGGGTGAATCCTGAAAGTTTGAACGGACGTGAAGGTGTCATGTTGGCTTTTGCATGGCAAGTCCTAATTAATAAATAAAAATGGATATATAACACTAATCAATCATACTTGATTTGAATTCCCGATTGTCTATTTCTTGTGAAGAGGCTAACAAGTGCTTTACAATTGTTGCCACACACACACACATATGCACGTACATCATTGTATACTGCACGCACATATTTTATAAAAATTCCTTCACGTTCCCAGTGGAACATAGGGCTTCAAGCTAGAGGCTTAAAGTTCCTGTAGCAGTGTTTATTTTTACAGGATGGGGTCGCTAGCCACCTCATGCCCAACGTTTCCTCTTCACCAGCTTTAGTTCTGGCTTAGCGAGGTAAAGGAGTGCGCCAGCCGGGGATCGAACTCCCGGACCATGTGCATGGTCGGCGAGCGTTCTAACCGCTATGCCACCGAAGCACACATGTACATATACACGTCTCATATTCAGTTATCTATGACCATGAACTTTAACTGAACAAAAGTAGACTAATATTTGTAAGTTTGTGGTCAAATTTTTATCACAGTTCATGCAGTTTTGTTTATTATACATGATACCTTGATACCTGTTTCATGACTCATATGATTGGAAAAAGTTTTTAAAAAAACAAGAGATGTCCGTTTTATATAATATAAACCCTCTGTTATTTTAATTTCGATTAATTTCCCTGATGACGTTCGGATTAGTTTTCCGAACGCAGGAAACGTTAGAATTTGAAGTTAATTAGTAGATGGTGACTAGCAGTAGGGTGCAGGATGCGCACTTCGTCCCATTTGGGACTCATCCACTGGACACACCTGCATTCCTCCGTGAGTGATAGTGTTCCGTCGGAGGCTCGAACCTAGTGCCCATAGTTTCAAACACCAGCCAAAGCGTTATCCACTAGACCACTTGGGCCACAAGGACCACCTCTTGTGCACAACGAGTCTTATTAATTATTTAATTCAATTCTAGATTTTCCCCTCTCGATTGATTGGACTGAAGTGCAGATGCTTCGACGATTACTGATAATGTAACTGGATGTCAACCTGAGACCGAGCACTTTTTTGTCGAATCAATCGACGCGGAAATCAATCTAAATTGAACTATAAACGTTGGAATTACCTATTTCAATTTCGCTGAAAATTTTTAGAAATGTAAACAAATGCTTTCTGTTATTATTGTTCTATGTTTTTACTTATCTTATTGTGTAGCGTCGTTGAATCGCAAAGATGGCGTCGACACCAGTGTCAATGAGGACAAGGATATAGACTTGGATATCATTGAAATCATCGAGGAATCTACGGACCTACCACGATCACCATCATCATCGGAAGGTCAAGTTTCTAAAGACAGTGTAAAGCGTCAATTCCAAACTGATGAGTCCACTGGAAATAATCGTCAAGTCAAAAAGGCAAGACTGGATACCAGCGATGTTAATGATGATGATTCTTCATTGCCGTTGTCGCTTAGTGCGGTTGTACCGATAGTCAACGTCGACTCTGATGACGATGATCTAATCCTTATTGAGTGTGATTAATAATAATAGTAGTAGTAATAAAGACATCCTGGAGACGACGTGTGCCAACAGGAATATGTAAATGTTTGTGCATTTAAAATTCAACAGTTGTTGGATGCATAGGTCCCTATCTGAACACTATTCATCCATTGGCAAATTTTGTTTATTATTATTATTTTTTATACTCATATGTTTATACCCTTTTGCTGGATCTCTATTTTCTTCCCGCCTTCTTCTTCCTCTTCGTGTTTGTCTCATTCAAGAATCCTTTTATGATCGCATCTTCCATTTTTTTTGTTCAAAAAGAGAACCCGTATGTGTATTTTTCCAAGACAACTATATACCAATACGCCATCACCGGTCGGCCATTGTTTCACTCGTTTAGGGTCGAGCTGCACAGCTCAGATTGGCAAATCAGTGTTCACCACCACCCACCGAATTTCTGGAGCCTATCTGTGGCTGCTTGGTCCATCTAACTTTTCCTTATCATAAATCAAATGCACCCATTGGCATATTGGTTAGCAATATATACAATTTACGCACAGTTCAAGTGGTGATCTGAAGAATAACTTGGTCTTTTTTTAAAAGGGTGAACTACAGTGAAATTTCTCCTCGACGATCTGTGTGGATTGCAAATCGCTAACCAGTTGCGTGTTTTTCTTACATAACCTTCTTTATATTATTGTTATTATTATTACTACTACTTGTACTATTTTGTAATATGCATACATAATACAGTCTTGTTTACTGGTGAGAAATGCTTGTTTTTCTCAGTGTCCAATTGTTCGTCCGTCTGGCTGTCTGTCTGTCTGTTAATTCTCTTCAGTCCCTTTACTGGGCTTCTTTTTCATTCGCCTGAGTTGTCAATTAAACGTTTTATGTGTGTTTATCAGTTAGTTTATGCTTGTGTGTGTGTGTGTGTAGCAAGTGTTTTAATTGACAAAAGTTTCGGTTAAGGATCACTGAAAGCCCAGACTGACATTGGATAACTGTTTTGACGTAGAGATGTTTGCCACTCTTCAGCGGTGCAATCACCTACCATCCAAATAGGAATCTTCACCATGTTAAAGTGTAAAGTGGATGCCCATTGTGAAGGCATTGGCTAATGGTAGAATTAGTGTGCTTTTGGAAGTGTGTGTGGGCGGTTGTTACTTCCCGGCTGCCCTCACCGTGGAAATTGATTGATTCTTCGCGTACCTGAAACAGAAAGAGGGTTAGTGTTGCGTGACCGCAGAGTTCAGGGGACAATTGCTTGAGGCCGGTCACACGCGGCCTGTGTGAACTGCTTTCTGGGATTGGTTCCCTATCAGTAAACTTACCGCCAGTTACGGAACACCGTAGGGTAAGTCGAGATGTACAATTTCTGGGGTCAACCTTTTATAACCCCCTCTCCCCGGAGTGGAGAGACAGCATAGCTGGCTGGCATGCTGGTCATCTGAGAGAAACACCTCACTGCTGTTACACCCCTATTCCCCAGCAGTACAACTTCGCCCTCAGACCCCCAGCATAGTGTAAGAGAGATTCTTACACAACGCCGGTAACTGCTTTCAGTCTAATCGCTATCCTAACAACCTTCCTGGCATGGTAGGACCTGCAGGAACATTGGTTCCAGCCAGTGTAGCTTGTTGGGTCATCGCGATATGCAAGCCCGACCGCCACGTCAAGGTAGCAGCTGTCGGTTGGGATTAGCTTGACTAATATAGTATCTAAAGTTCTAGGCTCAATAATCATGCGTAGAATAATTGGTGCTCGGGAGGCACAAACACGAGAGAACTATGAAGGCTTTAGACCAGGAAGAGGGTGTATTGATCATATCTTCACCCTTCGACAGATTCTAGAATATAGGCATTGTTACCGGCATCCAACAATCATTATATTTCTTGACCTAAAGGCGGCATTCGATTCTGTCGACCGAGAGGTACTTTGGCGATGCTTGGCTGTGAAGGGAATTCCGAGAAAATACATTGCACTGATCAAGGCACTCTACTGAAACTCATGCAGCCATCCAGGTGAGGGCTTACGGCGAGTTGTCATCTGAAGTGGTGTCCGTCAGGAATGCCCATTATCCCCATTCCTATTCAATCTCATGATAGATGTACTAATGGACTTAACCCTAAATGACTTCAGAGGCTCAGGGATCGACGTGTTACCAGGGAATAATCTCATTGACTTAGAATATGCAGACGATATAGTCCTTCTAGGCGAGGACGCTGACAAAATGCAGAGTCTTCTGAACACCTTGAGCCGAGAAGCGATCTACGAATGCCTGCTATGCGATTCGCTCCCGCCAAATGTAAGATGATACTACAGGAATGGACTAGATTGAATCCTAGCTGAGAAATAGGAAGTGAAGTGGTAGAGCACGTTGACCACTTCACCTGTTTGGGAAGTTGCATCAGCCAACGCCAACGCGTTGATCTCTGACGAAACCTTAGCACGGATACAGAAGGCTAGTTTCATAGAGCTTCTTATGAATTTTGTTTGACCTTTTTCAAGTCATGAAAGAAGAACATGCTTAGTCATAATGTGTTTGTTAAGCCGCCTTCTTTTTCGACTTACATAACTTTCTTCACAAGAGTAGCTAAAGTTGTGGTTGAACATAGATGTGACACAGTTAGGTAGTTTATGCATCTCATGCACTTTGATTTATCCTTGTTTCTATTAAGTTGCAATAACCTCTGTGATCTTTGTTGTCAGTTAACATTGCACATGTGTAAACCCCTAAATAACTAACTGTACATCTTTGAATTGAAGTTACAAAAAGAGGAGAGATCTTGATGTAGTTTCGTTCCCTGAGCTGGATAGTTTTTTTGCGAGGCTTTCATTGCCCCTAATAGGCAACATCTTCAGCGCATACTTCAATCTGTTGAAGTGAGCTTTTAGATTTCTCCACGACTTTATAAGTCATCTCTCCTGGTTGGTGGCCTTGAACGTGATTGGTTGGGAGAGGAGAGATCTCCTCTCTGCTGATTTTTGTGTTCTTAATTTTTTGGTGTATTGATTGGTATAGAAAGTATTTCAGAGGTATTCCTATGCGCGTAGTTGACAACAATCAACGAAGTATCATATCGCCTATTCTGCTTACGAAATCAGGGAATAATGGACACCCCGTGTTTTCAGTCGCTCTCTGACTGACATTCATGTGTAATCCAGCTGAGAACATACCGAATCCCGCAACAAATTAAAGCTTAAAAATTAATCTGATACTCTCTAACAACTGATTTTATTACGAAATTATCTGGAGTTTTAGTGAGAAGTTGTAACCAGTTGGGGGTTCCCACCAAGTCGGGTATAGAATACAAATGGTCATCGATAACATTGGCTGGCGGTTGTGCTGAAACCGCGGATTCATAGAAGTTAGAATTCACTGGCAATTGGATTCCAACCGAAGTAGTTTATTGGTCAGCGACCTTGGCTTCATAACCTGAAGTTCCTGGGTGTGGAGTCTTGGGTGTCTACAGCTGAAGAATCCCAAACTAGGAAGTAATAGCTGCTCAGTACTCCCTCATGGTTTTCAGTAGTCTTTTGACTGATGTTGATTCATGTTAAAAGTTAAAACAAATTTAATCCCTACGAACACCAACTCTTCAAAATTAAAATGCATGTGTTTTGACAATGTATAATAATAATAGTCGACAGAGTGGGCGGTTTATGTTGATTCATCAATGTCACATGTGACTTCCAGTGAGATTATCAAACTGATATCGGATAATTCAGACAATCAATACAAACTACCACAGAGTATCCTACTGGACGGCCGTTTCGTCTTAGTTTTGGCCTCTTCAACAATGTGCACCGAAACTTTGGAAAAGATTGCTCTTGGTTTTCTTTAATGCTATCCTAACTGATATCTCCTTTTATGAGTTATCTTGAAATCAATGAAATCCCTGCAAATCAATAAATAAAATACGCTTGGAATTTGGATTACGTACTAAACAGTTGTTTCGTCTCAGTTTCTGTGACTCTTCACCAGTGTAGACACTTGAGATAGGATGAAATGACAGCTACCCAGTAGTATTTCCTGTGTGGTTTCTCCCGGAGGTCTGTAACTGATGTGCTAATTCGTTACCTATGCTGAAATCATTCAGATCCCCACAAAGTCACATTTTTATTAATGACTAATCCCCATTCAAGTACTAATGAAAAGAACAAAAAAGCCAAGTTAAAGAATAGCGATCCAGGGATGCGAACACACCACTGGCTTGGGACTCGTACTCTTCATTGGTGGACGCGACCTGCCATTACAATATCTCCACTATGGATTGAGATAAAAATTTCAACCCTGATCGCGTTTTTAAGTACTGTTTGGATAATTGGCTGATAACATGTTAGGTTCACTGTTGGGATTAGGATCACGGTTAGGGTTATGTTAAAAAAAACACCGACTTTTCGGATTCGTTGGCTCAAGGTTAATCGTGCTCCCGCATTCCTTGATTCGTGGTTATTTAACTTCACCAACAAAACAAGTAGTATTCAACGAAGAGTCTTTTTTGTCGGTAAACCGACTTTTCTTTTTTTTGGGTGGTCCAATGGCACTTTATAGAATTTCTTTTCCACGAAACAGGGTTGTAACAAAACTGGTGAGTTGTCATAATCATAATTGTTTAAAATAGTCAATGCATAAGAATAGTTGAATAAGTGCATCAGAGTTACGTAATAAGATAAATAATTTACATGAATGAGTTGTAATCGGGATATACAAAGATAAACGATGGAAAATGTGAAATTGGGTAAGAGTTCTAAAGAAAATACAAGAGTTATAAGGATTTGGAAAAATAAACAAAAGGGTTGTTAACATCTTAGAAGAAGAAGTGGTTGAGTATAATTATCTTTCTGGTATGCAAAGCTTCGATTTCTCTAACTGAATGAATAAAGCTGCAGTAGTGCAGAAAAGATGAAAGAGTATTCCCTTCGGTAGGCCGTCCTAAGTTTTGTAGATTACTTTGAAGGAGGAGGAAGAGGCGTTTGTTGAGATATAGGATAACCAGTGTTGTTGACAAGATCTCCGATTATCGCACTCCTTATGGGGGTAATACTACGATTTTTCTTCAACCATGCATAATAGTGTTCTTGAAGCCTTCTATACAAGACACATGATGAGAGACAACTATACCTGGCTGCTTTCGAAGCAACAAGTGAACTAATATATGCACATGGAAGTGGTCAGAAGCGAGATGTCATCATTCAAGCTTCTTCAGACCAGTGGGCGACTAGAGAACGCTACTATTAGCGTTGACTGTAAAAGAATGTTCTTCCTTAATTGAAGATGAAAATCCCCCCCCCCCCTCTAAAAGAATATCTTATTGCTTAACTCTAACAACACGTACATATTTAGCTCCTCTTATGAATTGACTAATACTGACAACGATTCAAGCAAATCTGTATTTTCCGTATTTGAAAAAATTTGGGCATTAGGTATATGATATTCATTATAATAAAGGTTTTTTTGTATTTCCTAATGAAGGAATGAAAAACAAAACCATATTGTTGTTGTTTGTACTGACGAGCACACACTTTGACGTTAATGGATGAGAAAGAAAAAGAAGGTTAGAAATATATCAAGCACTACTGAGACTCTCAAGCGAAATAAAACTACCCAAAGAACTTCATCAATAAAATCAACACTGACATTAAGTATGGTCGAAAACTGGTATTCCGAAAAATGGGCCTCAACAGTTGTCATTCCATGTAGAGCGGAGACGTCAGGTGATATCATGAGAAGAGTACTCAGTAAGCTTGACATCAGAGTTTTCTTCAAAACATCAGACACACACTGCAAAGCAACCTTGTCCATATAAAAGACCAAATCCTTAAGGATTCTCTATCTGATTGTGTCTATAAAATGAAATGCTTGGAATGTGATGCGATATACATCGGACAAACATCGCCAGAGATAAATCAAATTCAGAAGAAATGGACACCTTAAAGCCACCTCTGTTTAGTTACTGAGAAATCCAGTTGAACTAGAAAAGCTTGAGAAATCATCAGCCATAGGTCGTCTACACGCTACGCTGTAGAATCAGGTCACAAAATTGATTTTGACAATATTGAAATCATCATCCAGAAAAATTTCAGAGATCACAAAGAACGTCTCATTTCATCAGAAGCAATTCATATCAAATGGAATCCGAATTGTCTGAATAGGAATGATGGACTAAAACAGAACTTGACCTGGTTACAACACCTCCTCCTCCATGAACTAATAAAATCAACAAGAATGTGATAAACGATTTCATTATGTTAACACACGCTCCTTTTATAATTCTACACACTTATCAAATCCAACAATCTACACCTGGTTTTGTTATCTTTACCAATTGGCCAACTTGACAACACAAAAATGACCCCATGCTGAGAAACGATGACTAAGTTGTTATGTATATAAGCTGAGTAGATTTTTTAAATTCTGGTTTAATAATACTACTACTTTGATAAAGCTATTAGCAGCAGCATTAAATAGCGAAACGTCAATAAAAACAACGACAGTATCGTTTTGTTTTTTCCATTCATTAGGAAATACCCTTATTATAACCTTTATTATAATGTTTACCATATACTCAATGCCCAAATTTTTCAAACTGTTTAAGCTGAACTTGGTTTGGACATAAATAAAAATATAATATTTACAGTCATCTGGTATCTGTCTGTCTGTTTTCGACATAGAACTTTGCACATATGTGCGGCAGTTCAAGTCCCCACACTCCCTCCATTTAGCACACAAAGCAAGAGAAGAAAGTAGAAGAAATACAAAATAGAGACAGTAAACAGAGGTGTGGGACAAAGGAATAGTAGTAACGAAGAACAATATAGTTCAATTGGAAATTATAAGTCACAAGGAGTGGATGCATCTGCACCGGCCAGCCATTGAGAACGGTTTTGAGCCATGTCACCAATTGTTTTCAACCATTGGTTTCTACCGTCCGGAGGACCCCAACCAGTCAGGAAGTTTACACCTTCCTACGTGGCTTAGACTAACTGTTGTAGATTTCATTGACTGGTGCCATGTTTTGCTTTGACCGCCACTAGCTAGCTCTTTTCCAGCCTGACCCTATATCAGCTAACATTGCCCATTGTGGAGGAAGGCGATGACTAGGCATACGTAACACATGTCCTAACAACCATTTCAGTCGATGTAGCTTCACAGCCATGTCGACTGATTTTCCCTCTTTACCTAGCACTCACTGGACGCCTAACCTCAATATTGCTCAGCTTATTATACCACTTCACACTGGTGATAGAACGCAGACACCTATGATCAAAGACAGCTAATCCTTTCATGTCTTCCACTCTCAATGGTCAGGTCTCACAGCTAGCCATAAAGGAGGAAGGAGAGGACTGATGAGAAGTACACACGCCCTTTGGTCGATAGTCAGCCAGATATCACGTTATCTGGTGTCACCGTAAAAGATAACTATTTTAGGTTTGGGGACGAAGGCCAAAAGAGGGAGAGAGGGATTGAACAAACTGTTTCTGAACACATTGATTGGTTTGAAAGATCTTTAAAGCAACCTGTCTCAAGAAGCACCCACCACCTAGGGAGTTGAAGTGCTGCCATCTTGTATAGAATTGTCAAGCCTGCAGTTTTCTCTTGTCAATCTTGTGTTCTGTAGCCACTAGATGTGCCAGTATGAAACTTTCGATTGACTTTACAACTCTTCTACCTAATCACTTTGGACAATGCTCCACAAGGTGACGGTAGGCTTTTCGAGTAATTCTACTTTAGATAAAGCAATAAGAAGACGTAATTTGTCTGAATCGTGTACTCTTGTATTTGCGCAACACATTTCGAACAATCTGATGACACACGGACTTAGTAAGGTGCCTTTTCAGTAGAATCCAACGAATATGCACTAGAGACACACTTGATGAAGAAGAAAGGAAGTTGACACAAACTCTGGTTGATAACAATTATCCAGACAAGTTCATCAGGAAATATGAAGTAGTCAGTGGAACACCAAGACACACTCTACAACTCGCCGTTAAGATAGACGTGTACATCAAGCATCATACCACGCAGCTTGATAACTAGACAAACATTGAACGCTGGTGTGGTTAAAAAGACTTTTTATGCAGCTAATATCATAATAATTGAGAATGTGAAGCAAATATATCCATCCATCTAAGCTGTTTGAACATTCGAAAAGTGATGTCACATCCCACTGTATTTAGTAATTTGAGTGTACGCGTGGACACACATACATACATAGGAGGGAGAACTCACGGATCTCTGCAAGTGAGGGCTGGCCAGAAAGCATATTCCTAAATGGCTACAGAAACAAATGGAATCTTCAGAACCTATTAATGGTGAGAACAGGAGACCTAGCTCCTCTATTGCGAAACATATTACAGAGGAGACAGGACATAAAATTGACGTTAACAGATCTTTTAAACCTATCTATAAAACGTGTTTGGGGCGTATCCTAAAGTTTGTGGAAGCCCTAGCAATTAGAAAGTTTAAGCCATTTTTATGCGTTCAAAAACAATTCGTCATCACATTAAACCTTCCTTGGTAAATTTTGTTTTGATACCATAGCAGATGTACTATCACCTCTGTTATTTGGTTTGGTGGTCTTCTTTGTTATTTTGACCTTCAATACGTCGGCCTTTTAACTTGACCTAAATTTATTTTCTCACCTCTTACCTCTTTATTAATTTCATATATTTTCCTATAACAAGTCCGTGTGTGTGATCAGATTGTTCGAAATGTGTTGCGCGCGCAAATACATTACACACACGATTCAGACAAATTACGTCTTCTTATTGCTTTGTCTAACTGAATTCATAAAGGGAACACTAATTGTTCTAATTTTTACTTTATCTATGTAACTTTCTCCATATGAATAGTTCAATTTATAAAAATGTACATTGATGCGATGGCCAGACTCCGTAGCTTATCCTTCACCTGTGCATTGAAATTATTATAGAATGAATGAGTACTCACTGGCTGACTGACTGACATCTCCTTTCTTTTTTTTTCGTCTTTTAAAGGCTGAACAAAGGCTGATGAACAGAAGTTCATCTTCGAAACTGTCAACATCTACATCATCTACTACTTCATCGACAAATAATTTCAATCAATTAATCGATCAGTCGATAGCTTTTTCAAAAAATTATAATAATGAAAAATTCACAGATCAATATCTTGATGAGTTAGTGGAGAAAATTTTAGCAGTACAAAGTACCAACAGCAGCAGCAGCAGCATCAACCTGAGGAGTACTCCATCAGACAGTAAATCCAATAATGAAAATACATCTACAGCCTGTATTTTAACACCTGAATCTGCTTATTCACAAGTTAAACAGACAATGCGAGAAATAGAAAACTTAGTTGACAGTAATTTCAAGGAATATGAAAATGACAATCCGTCGGAGGAATTGGCTATACATGAAGATCCTACACTGGTGAATGATGAGGTTAGTTTATATATATATATATATATATATATATATATATATATATATATATATATAAGTTTTTCAAATTAGATCGTTTATTAGATGTTTCACACCCAGTGTGAAACAGTATTATTATTTACTGGATGACTAAGTTTCGCACACAGTTCATCATTGTTCATAATCATCTCATCAATTATAATCACACAACTTCGAAACTTCAGTTTTATAGTTTTCTTTATCGCTTCCTATTCGTCGTCGTATACGGGTAGTAGAACTTTACGAATGTCCGGGTGTTGTAACTGTAGCGGAATTAAAATGAGGACGTTGTCGCCTTGTTCTGTCTGCGCCTGACTAATATGCCTATCTGCTTCTGGTACCTTCCGATTCAGCGAACCACGCAAATATTAAAAGAAAAAAGCTGGTCTGTGACTGTGTATTGTAGTACAACAACTACGACTACGATGACGACTACAACGACAAATAAACTTATTTAGGAAATGGTATTTATACAATTTTACAACCAATAGAGACACCTAACAGTATTTGAAATAATTGGTCGTAATAGTCAATAACAAAATGCGTGGGAATGATGATATACCACTTATGCGAGATTAACAGTCATTAAGATAATTGAACAATAACAAAGTGCCTGGGAAATGATGATATACCACTTATGCGAGATTAACAGTCATTAAAGTAACTGAACAATAACAAAGTGTGTGGGATCCTATCACGGGGTGGACAGGTGTTGAAGCATTCCTATTACACACGTATTCTCCTCAGTTGATTCGATAAATAAAGCTTCAGGCAGTTATCGATCTCTCCGTCCACCCTGCTGTTATGTTAGATTTTAAAACTGTCATCCTTTCCCATCCCATCGTATTGTATGGTTGTATGCAATCGCATTTAGTGTGTTGCTATAGCTGAACTATTCTCTAGATTTCTTATCTTATTTGGGTCAACCAATCTAGATTTTGCTAGGTTTTTATGTTCGGTTAGTCTAACTGACTGCACCTGTTTTACTACTTTGACCTATGTATTTGACCTGACAATCATTGCAGGCAAGGTATTAGATAAACTAAATTGTTTTGTTTTAAAGGTTCCACAGGATTGATCCTTTAACCGACAAAGCTTTTTTCTAATTGAGTTTGTGGTTGGTTTGAGTGCCAGCAGGCACTTTTATTCCTGCCTTGTTAAGAATTCTGCGTAAGGTGGTTTCCAAAGTTCCTTCCTTGTATGGAATTACTACCGATGATTTAGATTCCCTATTGTCGGTGTTGTCATTATCTTGCGCATGTTTGACATGCATGTCGTAATTAATATTACCATTATTATTATTATTATTATTATCACTACTATCATTATTGATTTTATTTTTACATTTCCCTACATATTTTCTGACTAATTAATCAGGGCAACTATTAGGCTTCAAAGCTTCTCTTATATGTCTCACTTCCTGCCTTAGATTTTCCTTGGTACTACTTAGCTTTTGTGCTCTATTGCTTAAACATTTCACCAATCCTATTTTCACTGACATAGGATGGGATGATCGGAAGTCCAAATATCTGTTTGAATGTGTGGGTTTCCTGTAAACACTAGTGTTTAACTTCCCATCTTCTTTCCTTTTGACGCTACAATCTAACATTGTGGGCTCCCACGCCTGACTTTCCAATTCACTTATAAATTGAAAGTGGCACTTAAACACACAAACTCAATTAGAAACATGCTTTTTTAAACAAAACAATTTAGTTTATCTAATACCCTACCTGCAATGATTGTCAGTGAGGTCAAATACATAGGTCAAAGTAGTAGAACAGGCGCAGTCAGTCAGACTAGCCGAGCATGAAAACCTAGCAAAATCTAGATTAGTTGACCCTAATAAGGCAAGAAATCTGGAGAATAGTTCAGCTATAGCACTCACTAAATGCGATTGCACACAACCATACAATACGATGGGATGGGATAAGATGACAGTTCTAAAATCTAATGCAACAACAAGGTGGCGGGAGAGATCGATAACTGACTGAAGCTTTATTTATTGAATCAACTGAGGAGAATACTTGTGATAGGAATGATTCAAAACCTGTCCACCCGGACATTTGTAAAGTTCTACTACCCGTATACGACGACAAATAGTAAAGAATAAAGAAAACTATAAAACTCAAGTTTCGAAGCCGTGTGATCATAGTGGATGCTGTGATTATGAACAATGTTGAATTTTGACATTAGATAGTCGGAGGCAATCGGCAGGAAGCCTTGGACCTGGGTTTGGTGCTAGTTGGCACTCATCAGCAAGGCATATCTGCAACCTTGAAGCTCGAATAGCTCATTGGTAACGTCTCTAACTGCAGCACTGGGTGATGCGGGTTCGAATCTCAGAAGGGACATGAGTTCTTCTGTGCGTCGGTGGCACAGTTGGTTAGGACTCTCGTCGACCTTGCACATGGTACGGGGTTCGATCCCTTGCCGACGCACACCCGATATCAATGGTCGGCCTGCAAAATTTGGGCAACCGATATCCATGGTGAAAATTCCATACTTGTACTGAAAATACAGCTGTAATCAAAATCAAAAAATACTACTCTAGAATATTCTATGTATATAAACATGCATATATATATAATTGTAGAACCAGAAGAGGGGAAATTTATCAAAAAGAATATTCTTTGCTCAATTATTTTGTGTTTTAAAAATCAACAAGTTGGCAGAAGAAGCAGGCAGCGAAACACAGGACTTGCAGTGAATACAGGGAGAGAAGGGTGTTCAGTGAAGAGTTACTCCTTTCTTTACGGTGATATCGTTCTCATGCTGTACATGCTGTCAGTCGTATATCTATAGGAAAAAGAGAAGACATTCAGCGAAGAGACTCTTTTCGGTGAATTCATTCACATAGCTGTACAATCGCATTTATATATAATTATTTTTTGTGTATGTACATGAGGTTTGTCAAGTTTAAATAATTGATCAGGTAATACAAGAATGATCTAATATAGAGACAAGGTTAATTAGACAGCAACTAAAGTAAGATTGAGTTAGTAAGTTAGATAACGTAATATAATTGACTAAAATGTTTCAACTTAGGTCAGGGTAGCAACAGAGGTAATTACAGGTAGAGAGGGAGAGAGAGAGACTAAGTAGATGTGGGGTAGAAAATAATGCTGTTTAAATTAGGACTAAAATAGAGCAGATAAATTGGATGACGTAACATAAATGACTAGAAATATAGCGTTGGTCATGTCAGTAACAGTGGTGGTGAGGTGTATAAATTAAATCTGGTGGGGCTAGAGAACAGGATAGTTTAAAATGTAAAATATTAGAATTGAGAAGACAAAATAATACTAATGAAGAGACAGAAAAGAAAAAAAAAGATTAGGTAGAATTTACTTGTCGGGTAATAAGATAGATTACATCCATTGCAAGTGTAGTGACTGAACGAACTTTTTCTGTATGCAGCAGAGTTCAGGACTTAGAAGCAATGGCGATTCACTTGCTAAGTACTCATGTGTATAAATGAAGCAAGGAAGTTGTGTGAGTGAGTGACTTGATATGATTTTGAGTGGCAATAGTTTGTGCTCGAAACGTGGTCATCGGTCGGTCGGTCGGTTTTCGACATAGAACTTTGCACAGATGTGCAGCAGTTCAAGTCTCTACACTCCCTCCATGTAGCGCACAAAGAGAGAGAAGGAAGTAGGAGAAATGCATATTAGAGACAGAAAACAGGGGTGTGAGACAAAGGAATAGTAATAACGAAGAACAAAACAGTCTAATTGGAAATCATGAGTCACAAGGAGTGGATGCATCTGCACCGCTGAGAACGATTTTGAGCCCTATCACCAATTGTCTTCAGCCATCATTGGTTTTTACCGTCCCGAGGACCCCAACCAGTCAGGAAGTCTACACCTTCCTACGTCGCTGGCTGGCTTAAACAAACTAGTGGATTTCATTGACTGGTGCCATGTTTTGCTTTGACCGCCGTTAGCTAGCTCTTTTCCAGCCCGGCCCTATGTCAGCTAACACTGCCCATTGTTGAGGAAGGCGATGACTAGGAATACGTAACACATGTCCTAACCATGTCAGTCGATGTAACTTCGCAGTCTCGTCGACTGATTTCCCCTCCTGACCTAGCACCTTATTATACCACTTCACGCGGGAGACAGAACGCAGACACCTATGATCAAAGACAGCTAATCTTTTCATGTATTCTGCGGTCATCAGTTAATATTACTGTATCACAACGCTGTGTAATTTATCAAAATAAAATCTTATCCATAATAGTGACTAAATGGTCAATACACTGGCCCCTCGTAACTCAAAGACCCTGAGTTCAATCAATCCTTAGCGCTGGAGTCATAGATTGAAACTGTGGAAGCATCACAAACATTACGACGAAACCGATCTTGAATACTTCCTGGCTTTTAAACGGTTGATATATAACTTAAAACGGCAACTCTAAACAATAGGAACCGAAACGACCTACGAGCGCACAAACGACCTTGTTAAGGACAACTTCGATGAATCAGAAGGCTCAAAAGAACGGCACATAATTGTAAAAGATCGTTTATATAAAAGTAAAGCAATGTTAAAAATTAGTTACAAAGGATGAAGTTCTTGTATATGTTGCAAAAAAGCTCCCACTTTCTCATAGGAGTCTTTATACTCATGTTAAACCAACTTCTGTACATAAACTCATCCAGATAACTGTACATCATTGGATTTCTTGATCCGTTCACGAATCTAATCCTTTTTTCAGGTGACTCCAGAAACTTTCGATGCAATCAGTATGAGTTCCATCCAAAGGATTGCGAAAACCGTGTGTGTGATTGACTACATGATGAATATACCCGAGATTCGACAATTGACCATAACTACTCCATTCGTCTGTGTGAATAGTGGTCCCGGGCAGCACTAAGCGCTGGATAATAGGCAATAATACACCAGCACTACGATTAGGAATCGCAGTAGAGGTGTAGAGCATCCATAATTACTTCTAGAAACAACAGAGTCACCTGGTTGGTTTCTCAAGGTCGTTTGTGCGTTTGGGTTCCTATTGTTTAAAGTTGCCCTTAAAACCAATCAAATTCTTGTTATAACCAACCTCTAAAAATAAAAAAGTTTAAATTACTTTTTTTCACGTCTCTGTTCTTTTTTTCTTTCTTTATCTTTCTTTCGTCAGCTGGTAACTTTTAAAGAATCCTATGAAAAGATTAAAAATTTCAGTGTAAAATTATCACAATTTTTATCATTTTATGAAAAAGAATTCAATGCACCCGCCTCCATTGAATCAATCGAGCCAGTGTTAAATGCAAAAGAAGTTGAACAATTTACACAGCAACTTAAAAATATTCCTAAAGGTGTAAACAATGCGATAAGAATAATGCTGGCTAGTCAAAAATTACAGAATGGATTACAAAGGATATCAAAGGTAAAAGCAGCTGCTGATATTTTTTTTAGAAACATCTTTCTTCTCTCTCCGTCTTTTGAGTTTTTCATGCTTTCATTTCTCTTTACGGATTGATGGTCTTTCAGTGGACTTTTAAATAAGATGCAGACAAATCCTTCTATGTTTTTGTGGGTGTGTGTATAACGCGTAAACTTTGCGAAATATTTTGTACAGAGAAGGTTCCCCGTGAGTGAGTGAGTGACTGACTGGGTTTCATATCCCTGAGAGCATATCAATTCTTTTGATTTATTACATGATTTTATCATGAGCTGACATTGGTTAGAGAACCATTGGAAAAGAAACAGGGAGTATTGGACAACTGTTCTGTAACGAATGTCAGGTCATGTTGAAATCCTGTAATCAATCAAATCCCTACAAACCAATGGTTGAATATCGATGAGATGCACACTGGCGACAGGCCCTATTCAGGTAGGTTCTAGTGGGAAGTCGTGACCAGTAGGGTACAGCAGGTCTGGTGTGAGGACAAATACTCGCCACCGAAGACATTGGCTAGCGGTCGCACTATGTCGTGAATTGGCAGAAGTTAGAATTCATGCACTGGCCGTTGGATTGGGTCCCAGTGAGTGGCTTAATGGTCTACGAGCTCGCTAGCCTTATAACCAGAAGGTCCTGGGTTTTAACCCCAGTGTAATGGGTGCCTACTGATGAAGAGTCCACTCACTGGGCCAGCCCATGAACTCTAACTTCTACCAATTCACGACATAGCGTGACCATTTCGCAATGTCTTCTTCTTCAATGAGTTACTGCCTCATCTTCAATCTGCTTTACCCTACTGTTACACCTCATGATGAAATCCTTCATCCAATCAAACCAAATCCCTACAAAACCAATACTTGAAAATTATTTTTATTTATTTGTTTATTTTTCTGTACCACATCTATTTCTCAGTGTTCATCTGAATTACCGGGTTTGTCGGAGAATCCTATTATTTCATTAGCCAATGAAATATTAACATCATCAGTGTTTTCTGAACTGTCATCAACCATACCATCTTCTTCTTCATCGCCATCATCATCAACATCAACATCATCTTCAAGGCCGCCATTAATTCCAAAGAATAATGTACAATTTCACAATGCCGGTGACAGTCTGAAAACAACTTAGTATTTTTTATTTTTTTTTAAGTGGTGTAAAAATGAGTCCTATTGAAGAGGAAATCTGTATTTTCTTATCAAGTGAAAAAACCCAGTATTTTCTGAATAAATAAATCAAAGATTTTATATCATAGTGATTACTTTTCTTTCTCGTGATATATATATATATATGTTATGTGTTTATATTGTCGAAATAATACTGATTACATAATTTGAATGTGCATATATCTGTGTGTTGTATGCGTGTGTGCGTGTCTGTCAATGGTGTTTCAGTTTTGAAGCAATGGGAAATGATAACCTCCACCCCACCCCTCCGCTTCGTCATGGTGCTTTACGTGGTCAGTGTGTTTTGATAACCCCTTCTATTGTAAATGGTCAAAGGTAATCGATAGGAAGCCTTGAACCTAGGTTTTATGCTTTCTCGTACTCGTCATCACATGGTATATCTGCAGTCGTCTTGAGAGGACATATGTCGTCGCTGGGACTAGACGCATAATAGTAGTAACTACTTGGTGTCGAATTAAAGTATCAATGATACTCCTAGAGGAGGTGAATCGTGAGCCTGAATCGATCAGTGGTAATGTCTTTGACTGCAGGTTGCGCTGAGTGACCCGAGTTTGAATCTCAGACGGGTGGGACATGAGTTCTTTCAAGAAAGCAGATACTCCTTTTGCTGGAAAGTCTCCTTTGTTTTTAGTGCAGATTGAATTCTATCAGTCAAGTTTGATTACAGCTTAATGCCACACCGTATTTTTAGGTACAGGTATGGAATTTTCAGCATGGATATCGGTAGCCCAAATTTTGCAGGCCTACCATAGATATCAGGTGTGCGCCGGCAGGGGGTCGAACCCCGGACCATGTGCATGGTCGGCGATTAAACACACCTTATCAGCACGGATCATTCAATCTCTCAATAAACTCCTCTTTCAAATTAATTTACAAGGTGAAGTGCAGCGTGTCATTAGCAGTATGTTTTTGTCTCCTCTGCATTTCTAATGTTCTACCTATTCATATAGAGAAACTCGAACTCTGCATGAAAAAAGAAAATTATTCAACCATTTCCATTATTTGAATAAAGCGAGAACAATAGTTTTCACAGAATAAAATGGGGCCATCATTGTTTATTTCTTTGGCTTCCCATCAGCTGCTTACAGGCCGCAGTCATTATTAGGCATATCTACAGAGACAATTTTAACATACGTGCACAGAGTTCATTTTAAACAAAAATCAATCAATAAATATATGCATATATATATATAATATTAAACACTATTCCGAATAGTAGTGATCATACACAATGGAAACTTTCGGCATTACGTATTCAGATGAAAGAAAGACCCTTCTCACTGAACTACTTGTTCTATTCTTTTCATTGTTGCCTGGATCGGAATTATTCATAAATTAACAAGTGTGCGAATCATTTGATGAGTTTGAGTCACACTGTGTTCACTGTCACTCACTTTGGCGTGGATCGGGGGGGGGGTGGCGTTGGGTTACTTCCAACTGATGAATTTCAAATGGGATGCGATTCGCAGCGTCACCATTACATGAAGTAACAGTATGTTACACCTAAAGCATCTGTATGTGAGTTGTCTGTTTACACATCAACAGAGTCTGAGCGTTTCACTTCGCTATTTAGCAATCAACAGGAAATCCAAGAGTAATAACAACAGTCCCATGAATGAAGTTCTGTACGTCAGTGGCACAGCCGTAGAATGCTTGCCAACCATACATGTGATCCAGGGATCGATCTCCGGCGACAGACGCATTCCTTTACCTCGTTAAAGAGGGAATGCTGGGAATGGGGCTAACAACTCCATCCCGTAAAAATAAACACCACAGCTATCGAAACTGCAAAGCTCCAGCTTGAAGCCGTTTGTTCCACTGGTAACGTAAAAGGAATAAAAGAAATGAATGAAGTTTTAAGCGTGGATTGGTACATCGTGGAAGTAGAGACATGAAAGAGCCGAATTTTACTTCGTGGGAGTTTCAATATTTGGATGGAAACTAGACATTACTGGTGCGAATACACTCATTATCCTACTTTCATTAGATCACATCAATTACTTTTATTATTATTATTATTCCATTGGGTTCCTAGCGGAAGATAGGACTTCAGCAGAACCTTATTCTCTGCACACTTTTCTGGAAGGCTGTACGGTAGCGCATAGTTTGTCACCTCCCACTCACACTATCTTCTCTGTGTCACTCCCGGACTTGTGCCCAACTCGTCGTTCACCATTCGGGTTCTCATCGGGAGCCTGCCTGGCGCGTGATTTCCACTCCATATCCACTTCATTCGGCATATTTGAAGGTTAATAGGTTGTTCGTTGGTTCGTTACCTGCTGGAGTTCTTTGTGGTTAATCCTTTCTGATTAGGCGTCTAATCTTCAGGATTGAGACAAGGCAGTTGTTGACGAAAGCCTGTACTGGCCGTGAACTCCTTTAAATTTCTCCGACTGGTGCTTGTTTTTGTTGGTAACCGGATGTGTTCATCATTCTCTGTCTTTTCTATGTTCACCTGAAGTCTTTGCATATTTCTAAAGGTCCTTATTGCACATACCGATTTATTTTATTTTTTATTTATTTTGATTTACAGCTTGATTCCACACCGTATTTTCAGTACAAGTGTGGAATTTTCAGCATGGATATCGGTAGCCCAAATTCAGGCCGACCATAGATATCGAGTGTGCGCCGGCAGGGGATCGAACCCCGGACCATGTGCATGGTCGGCGAGAGTCCTAACCACTGTGCCACTGTGTCTAAAAGCATTGAGGAAATTCTTGATCACTTATCTCCTGAGTCGTTTGCCTACTTTAGATGAATATGTTGAAATGCATTCCTACTTTTACTGTAGATTTAGTCTTGAACCGAAATCGATTAGAGACTATTGAAAAGCAGGGAGCATTATCAACCATCTGTTGTGACTCTTCACAACAGTGCGAGTCCACACATCCATTAGGGATCAGACCCAGAACCTCTAGGATACGAAACCAAACTCGTCAACCATTCAGTCACTTGAGCCGGGATTAGGTGAACCGTTAATTTCTTTGTTGCATATTTATTTATGTATTTATTAACATACTACTATAAACTGTATTTTAGTAGTTTCAGGTATGTCAGTGAAACAAATCACACTGGGCATATTGAAGCCAGATGTACAACGATTTATCAATTATCGTAAGGTAATAATAATGATAATTTTCAAAGCAAAATATTTTTCCTGTCAACTGTGTTTTTTTCATTCCTTGTCTTCTGAGTGGAAGGCAGAAGTTCAACCTTTGAAGTGTTTGACTAGCAATGATATTGCATTTACGGGTTTGGGGGAGGGGGGTTGTCAGCCACACGCGCTCAATCTACCTTCTTCTCCCGAGCCTTCCACTACCTAGTAAATTAGAGAAGGTGCTTAGGAGTGCATCGATAGGGGATTGGAAGTCTAACCTCTTGTATGGCTTACAAGCATTCTGCTACTAAACATTGGCGCATACTGCATTATTTAATTAGTGATTATTCTTAAACTGCACTTATGTAGCTTTGCGAAGTGCCTTTTTAGTTTGATGCCTCTCATTATTGTCTTTCGTTTGTATTCCTCTACGTTCCGAGGGGAACATCATGGCTTCAAGCTAGAGGTCTTGTGAAGTTTCAGTAGCATTAGTGGCGAAGTTCAACAATAGCGTCCCACGAGTGTGAACTCTCCAATGACCTTGAACGCCTGCTAGTCGTTGGCTAACGACACCATCTGTCATTATCATAGCTGAAATATCAACGCTATTCACCAACTGAGGAGCAAATTTCACCCAGACCACGTTTTTAAGTACTGTTTGGACAATGTGTTAATAGCTCGTTAGGGTTAGGATTAGGGTTAAGGTAAGTATTGAGGTTAGGGTTATGATCAGGGTTATAACTAGCATTAGGGTTAGAATTGCGGTTTAAATAAAGGTTATGATTAGGGTTAAGATTAAGGTTAGGTTTAGCGTTTGGGTCAGGATTAAGCTTATGGTTACAATTAGGGATAGATTTATAGTTGACGTCATTTATTTTAATTTCTTTATTATCCACGTTTTCCTGGTAAGTAGTCGTCTATCCCCTTGCTGGAAACCAAAGTAATTCAACCAAGGGCTTTTTTGGAAGACTGCAAGCAGGATGAGAGAGATAAACGATTCACAAAAACAGCTTATCTGCATTCATCTCGGTGAATACATGTACAGAAAGTAGTCTAACTTAGCAACTGATACTCGTTATAAATAGGACGTGCATTTTTAAGCCATGTCAGAGAAAGATAACCTGTTTAATGCGTTTTCTATCATTTTCTTGTCAATATACATCATTTTTTAAGCAAACATTCCTCATTTTTATGATTGGTCAGCTGAAGGTCACTCGTGCGTTCACACTCCTGGGACGCTATTGTTAAACTTTGACACATTAGTCCTATTTTTACAGGGTAGGGTTGTTAGCCTCACTTCTAACCTTTTGCTCTTTACCGGCTTTACTTCCAGCTTAGCGAGGTTTAGGAGTACGTCGGCGTCGGACCACGTGTGTTGTCGTTGGCGAGCGTTCTACCTCTGAACCACCGACGCTTCAATATTATCTTATTGCCTTTATATTATGTACTTGACTCCTCAGCACTAGGTTTTCACATAGCATCCGGCAGTCTAGCTATGCCTTTATCCACTTCCATCTTCGTCTGTGGTACAGTGGTAGAATGCTCGCCAGCCAGACATGTGATCTGGGGTTCGATACCCGGCTGACGCACACCTGATATCAATGGTTGGCCTGCTAAATTTGGTTTAACGATATCACACGCTGTGTGAAATCAAGCTATAATAAAATTGAAAAAAATAACATTTGATCACGTGACGAAACACTAGAATCTGTTACTATTTAGCGTGTAATAATAGCCAATAGTGGTAGTGTGAAGAGAGCTGACTGCAAGCCAAAATTGTAGACAACACAATTTACGTCAATTTTCACGTCCCTAATCAGGGTCATGAGAAAAACAATAGCAAAGCT